TGGACTGGCAGGTGATACCAGGTCTGGATATCAAGAGTGTTGGCCTCCCCTGACCATGATGATGCATCAGCGACTTTCCCTGTCGCCCTAAGCCCCCTCTGCCTCATCTCCCCTCTTCCCTTGCCTCCCTGGTGTACCCCTCTCGGCTTCTGCACCCTAACACAGCAGCATTGCCCCTCAATTCAGGGGCCCGCTGGCCTTCCAGTCCTGCTCACCAGCAAGGCATTGGCCCCTGGAAATGCATTTGGTGGTAAAGATCTGCATCTCACGCTTGCTGATTTGGGTTTAATGACAGTAAGTCAGGTGCAGGAACGTGCTGGTGGCCATGGAGTGGAGTGGGGACTCCGCCTGTCCCCCTCCCCTCCCAGCCAGTGGAGAAGCTCCAGGTGGCAGGTGGGAGTGTCCTGTGCCCGGCGTCCCTGCCTGGGCCAGGCCTGCTGTGAGTCCAGAGGGTTCCCACCCCACTCCCACTACCCTGTGCTTTTGACGGGGACTTCATCTCGCTGACCCCACGCTCCCACCGGCACAGGTTGGACTTCCATTCAGGGCCCACTGTTCCCGTTTCCGTGGGGACCTTTCAGGGAAAGGAGGCAGAACCCAAACTGGGACAGTCCGGTCCGGTGTCCGTCCCACTCCGCTGCCTGCTGGCCGGGAGGCTGCCTTTGGGCCCCACCGCCCCTTTGGACCTCACACATGAAGGGGTCCAGCTGATCGATGGCCAGACCCCTTTCCGGGTCCAAATGGCATGAGGCCATCAAGCCCGGGTTCCTACATCCTGGGTGGGGCTGGGGCCTGCGAAGGAGCAGCCTGGAGGGAGAGGGCCTTGTGGGAGGCTGTCTCCCAGCGGGTCTGCTGCCCACACCAGACCGAGGGCTCACTCAGCCCCGCGTCCGCAGGTGGCAGCCAGGGTCATGGTGTCCCCAGGGTCGTGACGGCCTGACAAAGTTCTCACTGCGTAGGGTCGGCCCAGAGACCAGAACAGACGCAGAAACGGGAGAACGGAGGGGCCGGGCAAGCAGAGCACAGAGGGTCCCCGGGCTCCCTCCCCCCCGGCTCTGGGTCTCAGGTCAGGCCTGCACTTGGGCAGCTCAGCCGGAAGGGACCCGTGCTGCTCTGCTGCTCACTTGCAGATCCGTAGCAGCTGCCTCCTGCTGGCTTCCGAGCTGCCCATGCAGTGCTGCCCGCCAGCCCCACGTGCCTCAGGAAGGTGTCCCCATGGTCCTTTTTTAGAGAAAGATCAGGTGGTCACCGTCATCTTCTCTCCTCTGTCACGCCCCCAGGCTAGGCAGTCTGACTCAATGCAGGGTCAGGCCTGGGGTGGACAAGGGCTATTTGGTGTGACTGCGACCAGTCCTTGCCCTCCGCACCCTACAGTGTCCCAAGCCAGGGGGTCCTTAGTGACACAGAGATCCTTGTTAAGGGCATGCAGTTGGTGCTCAATAGTTGTTTGCGTGGCTGGTGAAGTGCACGTCTAGGAGAGCTGACAGGCTGCTGCAGTGCTGCAGCTTTGTTTCCAGGCCTCCCTCCCCTCCCCTTGTGGCATCTTTGGGGTCTCAGCTGTTAATTACATGTGCCCAGGCGGCCCGAGGCGCTAATCCTCGAAGTCAGGCAGCAGAGGTGACACTGAGTGCTCTGCCTCTTGTCATCTCCAATCCGCCTGCGTCCCCTGCCTCCCGCCGCATGCCTCCAGTTAATTACAGCGATCGCGGCCCTGCCGCCGCCCAGAGAACAGGGTCGGGTGGCCGCTCGCTAATTGGCGGGTGCGTGGTCAGGGATCGATGGCGTGCTCCGCTGGCTACTGACAGCCCGGCCCCAAGGGATTAGGCACTAATTGTGATGGCCTCCCAGGCGCCCCCCACCCCCAGCTCCCTCATTCTTAGAAAGGAGGCTAATCCAGAGACGAATGGTGTAGGGTGGTGTGCAGGGAAGAGAGCGGGCAGAGGCCAGGTGGCCCTGAGTCTCCCAGGCAGTTCCACTATCCCCTGGGCTGTCCGGTGCTCCTGCTCCCCAGGGGGAATACAGGCGCCTCCCTCCCTGAGGCCTAGAAGCTGGTGCAGGATGGGGCTCAGGTGTCTGGTCTCCTCTTCCCTAAGCCCTGCAGGACAACAGTCTGTCCGGCCTTTGACCCCAGCTTGGCCTCCGGGCAGCTGCAGCCTCTGCCTTGATGGGTGGGGGCTCTTGGTGTATTTGTTTTATTTCTTTACATTTTTGGCTCCAGAGCATGAATTCCACCCTCCCTCCACTCACAGGCAGAGTTTAGACAGGGTCGCCCAGAGTGCAAGCTGGGCGCACAGTAGGTCCTACGGGCAGCCAAGTATCTGAGGCTTTATGCGCAGTGGTCACATCAACACCACTCACAAGGTGATACTCCCAACCATCCGTTGATGATGATGGATCGAGAAAATGGGGTCCCTTCATACAGTGGAATATTATTCAGCCACGAGAAGGATGCAGGCCTGACACGGTGCGGTGGGGTGAGCCATAAAAACATCATGCTCAGTGAGAGAGGCCGACACAAAAGGCTGCATGTCGTGTGGCCCCGTTTACATGAAAGGCCCAGCATAGGTAAATCCGTGGGACAGAGAGCAGATCGGTAGTTGCCAGGGGCTGCAGGGAGGGGAGAGTGCTAATGGGTAGGGAGTTTCTTTTGGGGGTAAAGAGAACATTCTAGAATTGATTGTGGTAATGGTTGCACAGTTGTGAATATACTAAAAACCACTGAATCCACAAACTTGATATGGGGGGGGGGGTTTATTTGGTGGGGGAGTCATATCAATAAAGATGCCACAAACCAGGAAAAGGAGATTGATTGGTAGAGATTCCATGGAAATTCCTTTTTTAAAGAGCAAGATCCCTGCCTAGTATTTTGTATTTTTCCAAAAATTTAAATGGGCTTTTTATCCAAATACTAGGCCCAGAGCACAAAATTCATGCACCGGTAGGGCACCTAGGCTTGGTCAGCGATCAGGGTCAATCTGTGGGGCCATCGGGGGAACCCCCCCCCCCCCCCCCCACAGCTGGCACCCGCCTTGGCTGGCCTGGGGCCTGCAGGCTGGGGGCAGCCCCTGTGTTGAGTGTCTGCCCCCTGGTGGTCAGTGCACATCATAGCAACCGGTCGTTCCACTGGTCTTTCTGCCGTTCGGTCGATTTGCACATTAGGCTTTTATTATATAGGATAAATATCTACGAAAGAGTGCACAGACCATAAGCATCCAGTGAGACAACTTTGCAGAGTGAACCACAGGCTGGAAACAGTGAGGCCCCGCCCCTCTCGGGGGGTGGGTGGGAGTGGACAGCAGGTACAACTGCATTCAGACCCTGTAGCTGCGTTTCTCATTTTTCATCTTCACTCGGTGGTGTTGCTGTGACTCCCTCTGTGCCTGAGGCCCTGGCTGCTTCCTGCCCTCTGTGCCTGCTCTATCCTGACACCACTTTGGTGGATGCCAGCCCTGTTGTGCCAGGTACAGACCCAGGAGCAGGATGCCAGGCCAGGCCCTGGGCAGATAACAGAGCCTGAGGAGACACAGGCTGTTTCCCAGAGTTGCACAAACCTGGTGAGGGTCTGGGTGCCATACCCTCCCAACTTACCACCAGGATTTCCTCCATCGGCTGTCAGAGTGGACGGCAGCCCCCCGGCCCCCGGGAGCCGCTGGGTCAGCCCCAGCTTGTTTCAGAACCTCGGAGGCCTCCCCGCGGGAAGCAAGGCCGCTCCCGTCCTGCCCTGTTGGCTGTCCCCTGACAGGAGGCTGGGAGCTTGCCCCCGCTGGTGGGGGCAGAGCTGGAATCTAAACCCAGTGCTTGGTTCTGGGGCTTGGCACAGGCAACTGGGGTTTGCCAAATTTTAGGGTGTGGGCGGTGGTTGCCTGGTCCATCTGGAGAATGGGGACAGCATCCCCCACATGACTCCTCACTGCCCGTCCGGCCGGGCACTGACGGGTGGGAGCTGGGAGTGAGGGGCCTCCTGGCCTGGCATTGTTCCAGGGTTGCTGAGCTGGGCAGCTCTTGGGGCACAGGCTGTGGGCTGGGGGGGGGGCAGGTCTTGCTGGACTGGGCGTCTCCCTATAGAGCTGCCCCATACAGTCGTGCAGGCTGCGCACAATGCGAGGGAGGAGCCACACGGAAGAGGCCCGCGTGGGAGCACCTTGCTCAGGGCCAAGCTCTGTCTGTCCGTGGGGCCTCCTCTCTGAGGCCACTCTGCCTCCTGATCACGTCACTGAGGCCGCACTTGGCCGGTCGGGGCCTCTGGGTCGGAAGGGAGTGAACCACGGTAATTCCTTCATCTCAGTGATACCTTGGCAGCTGCGATCGTCTGCGAGCCCGTGAGCCGTGGGCTGCCCTCTAAGCTAAGGTAACATGAGAGTGGCCACTGGAGATAGTGTGGAGACCAGTGTCCCTGGGACCGACACAAGTTCTGAACAGATTCGGGGAGGATGCCTGGAAGCTGATGGGATTTCTCCTTCCAGAAGGGGAGGTCGGTGCTGACACCTGCTTCCGCCACCGCCTCGGGGCTGCAGGTGCCCCAGGTGGGGCTCTTAGAGACAGAGGTGCCCAATTGTACACCCTTAGAGGGGTCAGCGTTTGCCCTTTGAGTCCGGATGTGAGATGGGCATCCCCAGGCTGCTACTCAGGACTGTCAGCAGCAGCCTTTATGCCAGATCTACCCAGACCAAGGCTGATACCCAGAATCCATACGAGAAGCGTTCAGGTGCCAGCTCTGCACCCCTGGCCAGCAGAGCACACAGCCGCCCACGCTCCTGCAACCCTGTGGCCATGCCGTGGGGCGGCTGCGTGCACAGTGCCAGTGGTGGGACAGGTGTGCCCTCGCCTGCCTGATGCCCGGCACTAGTTGAATCTTGGCTGTGATGTGATAAAGCCTGGGGGTCTGGGTGCTGCTGTTCACGGCTCTCAGATGAGGTCTGGGTCTGAGATGGGGCTGGAAGCCTGAGCCGGGCGCTGACCCGGCTGAATCCACGCTGAGGCTCTGTGTCCTTCTCTTGCAGGGTCTTCACTGAGCAGTGAGTCGTCCCCTGTGTCCTCTCCAGCCACCAATCACAGCTCCCCTGCCAGCACGCCCAAGCGCGTGCCCATGGGCCCCATCATCGTCCCCCCCGGGGGCCACAGCGTCCCTAGCACGCCCCCCGTGGTGACCATCGCCCCTACCAAGACCGTCAATGGCGTCTGGAGGAGCGAGAGCCGGCAGGTGAGTGCCCGGGGCGCGTGGTGGGTGTGACCACAGGCCCCAGGTGTGGGAAGGTGGCCTTCCACAGGGGAGGACTGGATTGCGGGGTTTAAATCCCTCACTCCCAAACCCCTGCTCTCCTGGGCCTCTGTCTTCTCTGCAAAATGAGGTGACACAGAACCTACCAGGGAGGTCCGTGCAAAGTAAGTCCATTCGTGGGTGTGATTTTCCTCCAGCTGCCACCACCCAGCACCACAGACGGGCGCTTCCAGGTGTCCTTGCGGTTCTGGAGCTGGGAGTCTGCCATCAGGTTGTCAGGGGGCTGGCTTCTCCGCGGGCCTCTCCCTGGCCTGTCACAGCGTCTTCTCCCTGTGTCTTCGCCCGGTCTTCCCTCTGTGCACGGCTGTGTCCTAATCCTTTCTTATAAGGACACCAGTCATGTTGGGTCAGGGCCCACCCTGATGACCTCATTTAACTTCACCGCATCTTTAAAGGCCTGATCTCCAAATACGGGCACATTCTGAGGTCCTGGGGGCTGGGGCTCCCACATGAATGTGAGGGGACATAATATATAATTCCACCCGTAGCCCCTTGTAAAGTGTTTAAAATGGTGTTTGCATATCACCAGCACTTGTTAAACAATAGTTATTATTATTACCTGTTGCTCAAACAAGGAATTGAAATGGAAAAGCCAGCCCACATTTTCACGTCACATTTTTATGTTTCTATTCTAACTGTTGGCACCCGTCAAGGCGGCCCTTCCCAACACGTGGGGTCCCTGTGTGTGGCCGCTGCCAGGTGACCTGCCTGTGCAGACGGAGCTGGTGGCCCAGGGCTGACCCCTCCCACCTGCTGTCCCCCCACACCTGGTGCTCCCAGCCCCAGGAGCCCTTCCTAATTAAGAACACTGTCACTGTGCTTCTCCTGGATTCTCCTGCCAAGCTCCCTGAGGGATGGCACCACTTGGAAATACTAATTAAACCACAAAGAAAGCAGAGGGAAGGGGGGTCTCCCACTTCGCCCCATCCCAGCGCTGCTCTGCGGGGAGGGGGGTGGGCATCAGCGTCATCAGGCTCCGTCTTGTTTTCTGCCCCGGAGGGTGGGGGTGGCACCCGCCAGGCAGGCCCTGACCTACGGGGAGGGTCCCCAAGGCACCCATGGACACAGCTGTGGCCTGGGACCCCCGGGTGCGGCCCTGCCTTGCCCCCACGAGGCCCCCTGTGCTGTGACTGCCTAGGCCAGGGGTGGGCAAACTTTTTGACTCGAGGGCCACAATGGGTTCTTAAACTGGACCGGAGGGCCGGAACAAAAGCATGGATGGAGTGTTTGTGTGAACTAATATAAATTCAAAGTAAACATCATTACCTAAAAGGGTACGGTCTTTTTTTTTTTTAGTTTTATTCATTTCAAACGGGCCGCATCCGGCCTGCGGGCCGTAGTTTGCCCACGGCTGGCCTAGAAGCTGCTGCCTTGGCGTGGTTCGTTCGCGCTACCCTGTGCGCAGCTTGGAGACTGAGGGTCAGGGTGGGGCTGGTAGGCAGATTCTGGCCAGAGGGGTTCGGAGCAGCCACAGCTGCCCCCTAGTCCTGGTTTGAGGGAGGACGGGGGGGTCTTTCCCAGAGTCTCCCTGTCGGCCACCTGGCGGTCAGCCTTGACCTCCGGCCCAGCCACCTGGCTCAGACAGCTGCGGCTCCTCGCCTCTCCCCTAACTCACTCGGGTCCGGGTGGTCTCTGTGTCCTGTTGTGTCCCTGGCTGGTGACGGCTGCCACAGCCCCAAGTGTCCCCTTTGCTCCCACCCAAAGGGGGCATCTTCCCACCCACCGGGACCCAGGGTGCCTTGTGAACAGTCCCTTCCGCTGCAGGCCCCTCCCCGGCTCCACGCCCAGAAACATGTGCTAACCCCAGAGAGAGGGCCGGGCCATAGATCTGCTCCAGCCATTGGCGGGTAATGAAACACTAATGCCGCAGGGAGGCGGGAGGAAGGGAGCTGGATTAGCGGCTGATGTATGGCTCATCAGCTCAGCACAAAGGCTCGGGGAGAATGCAATCCTTCTGGGGAGGGGGCTCAGGGAGAGGCTGAGGGCCGGAGAGAGGAGCAGCTTCCTAAAGTGTAGCCAGGAGTCACGGGGGCCTCCTGCGTGGCGGGGGGCCGAGGGCTCTGGGCCCCTTCGCTGGGGTCACTCAGGTTCCCCAGGTTGTCGGAGCTTGGAAGGGACAGATGAAATGAAAAATCGTCTATTTTAAAGCTAACAGGGCATGTCCTGTCTGTCTGACTGGAAGCCTCTCTAATCACCAGAGAATGAAGGATTTGCCTCCCTCCCTGCCTCCCCCTCATTCGTCTTTTCTTTCATCGCTACAGCTGCGCCTGCAGCCATGCAGCCCTGGTGCAGAAATAAAAGCTGCCCACAGATGCTCCTCGATGCGTGCCTGGCTGCCGGGGACAGAAGGGGGAGCCCAGCCGGCACTCTTGGGGTGCCTTGGGGTGGCAGCTGAGCCTCCTAGGCTCGGCCCGGGTTGGGGACTGCTGTCTGGGCCCATCCCACCCTGGGCAGCCCTTGTGCGCCCTCCAAGCCAGGTGACCTCATTCCCAGCTGCCTGTCACAAGCTCAGCAGGGTACCAGCCAGACAGAAGGCACGTGGGTCTGGCCTGCTGAACCCACCCTCTGCCACCTTCCCCTCCACCCCTGGCCTCTCCGACTCCTTGTTTGTCTCGGCCAGGCCGGGGCAAGGTGCCATCTGGCCCAGCTGCCTTTCAGCAGGGCTTTGTCCCCTGAGGGGAGAAGGAGGCTTTATTCCATGGTGGCCCCCGTGCGGGGTGGGCCCCTGGAGCTGGTTGGTGCAGGGACATGGTCCCTCCACGTGGCAGACCTTGCACTTCGGCAGGCCTGGCCCTGTGCCCGACAGGGTGAGGGTGTGAGGGGGAACCAGCAAGCCCAACCTAGAGATGACTCCTCAGCCTCAGTGTGGATGGAAGTGCTGGGAGTGGGGGTGCCTGTAGGCTTGGTGGTGCAGTGCTGTGTGAGCCGCCCCCTAACCCCCATTGCCCCATACTTCACCCATTTCCTGTCTATACCTGGGCACCGTCATTGCTGCTCTATGAGCTGGCACTGCAATTGGCACATTTGACAGATGGGGAAACTGAGACACAGGGCAGTTATATAAGGGGTCATCCAGGACCAGACAGAAGCCATCTCCTAAGGTGATCCAGGAGGCCCCCTCCTGTCCATGAAGGCAACTGGAGGACCCTGAGACCAGGTGCCAGCCCCTGCATGGAAGTCCCTGGAAAACCGGGAGGCAGGAGTTGTGGGCTCCGACTGATCCAGGGCATGGGTGCGTGTGTGTCCTATCCTTGGCACCCACCACATGAACACCCTTCTGGGAAGGGCAAGTCAGAGTTCGTGAACCCGGGAGGACCTCGCGCTGAGGGGCGGGCGAGGGCGCTGCCGCACGAGGGATGGGAACAGATGTTGCTGCTCATTAGGAATTCCAATCAGCAGCCTGTCTCCTTCAATTAATTACCGCTGCTGTGCCTTCCGGAGGCTGAGTGCACGCGGCTGCCTGGCCCGGCCTGTTTGGGGAATAGGCCTGATGGACGCGTGGGCCCTTCTCCTGAGCCTCGGCTGCCCCGCGGGGTCCTGTTGGCCAGTGCGAAGATGGTGGGCAGCCGCGGTGATCCGCCCCTCACCGCCTGCCCGGGGGTCGTTAGATAAACGGGGCTCTGACACCTCCGCCTCCTGATCTGATGACGGTCAGCAAAGCGGGGAGAGCAGCAGCTGGAGGATCAAGGGTCGGGGTCTCCTGGGGTTCAGGCCTCGGGTCCAGGCGTGCCACCACGTGTCCAGTGGTCAATCCCGGATGTGCTCCTCAGCCTGCCAGCTCAGCAAGACAGTCCGCGGGTGGTGGCCTCCCTCGTTTTCGGGGTGTGTGGCATTTAGTGGCAAGGTGGAAACACTGTGGGTTTGGGGTCGGTGAACTTGGGCTTGTGCTCTGGGAGCGCCACCTGCTTTCTCCGAGCCCCGTTGCTGTCTGGTCAGTAGTGGTCGGACCTGACATCGTGCAGATCTGGCCACGAGGAGGAAGGCCTGGTAGGAACCGGGCTCAGGAGTCTGGCCGCAGCTCAGGGCAGGCGGAGTGGAGCCAAGCGCGGGCTCAGTGATGGAGCCCTCCCGGGGGCGCTGCTCCCGGATCCCGAGTGAGCGCCCCTGGCTGCTCCCAGTGCTCTCTGAGCCTGGCTGCACGGCTGCCTTTCAGCCACAGAAACCACAAGGCAGTCAGAACCTTCGATGGTGTGGTTCCTGGGGCTGGACACCTGGATAAGAGCGCAGACCGCCCCTCTCTGGCTGGGTGGCACACTGGCCCTTGGCCCTGGAAGGGGCCTCTTGCTCCCCCTTCCTGCCGTGGGCCAGCCCTTTCAGTCCCTGGGTTCCACCTTCTCTCCAGGAGTCTGGGGCAGGTGGGGCTGCAGCCCATTGCCATCTCCCCCCTCGGTGTGTGCGAAGGGGTCCCCAGGCAGGTCTGGCCAGTCGAGGCCCTGCAGCTTCCTGTTCTGGTTGGTGCCAGGGCCACCGCAGGGGTTGGCGGGGAGCAGCTCGGGGTGTTGCTCTCCAGGGCAGCGCCATCTTCCTGAGGCTGAGTCACTCTGTGGGCACCTCGGGTCACGGTGTCTGTGGGGCAGGCCCGCAGCCGTCAGCACCTCGAGGCCTTGGCCCCCGGGGATGCCTGTGAGCATCTGAGGTCAGCGGGCAGGGCCCCCTGCTTCTGTTCCGCCTGCTGCTTGCAGAGCTCACTTCCTGGGAGAACGGGTACGGGGACCAGCCGCATCTCACTCCTCAAGTTTGGGCTCAGAGTAAATGTGGCCTGTGGGACATCCATGCTGGAAGTGTGTGGGTGTTTGTGCGGGGCGGGGAGCCCCTCTCTGCGCCCTGTCCCCTCGTGGACACTGGGTGCTCGTCGTGGTGCCCCCAGCAATCCTGGAGGGAGGCTCTGCCCTTCCCCATTGCACCGAGGAGGGAACGGCCCCCCAGGGGGGTTTCAGTGCAGACCTGTCCCTCATTGGGACCCGTGTCTTCCCTTCTCACCCTTCTGCTTCCAACGCCACATGTACCACAGATTTGGGTAGAAAACCTTAAGGAAAGGACTTTTCTAGAACGTGCACTACACCTGTGGCTGTTCTGTGAGTCTGCAGGACGACCGGCTGGTCCTTGTTGGAGGCCCTCCCTCACCCGCCCCACCCTGACCCACTGTTCTCTCTCCCCCAGGACACCAGCTCTCGGGGCAGCAGCAGCGGTCGAGAACGCCTCATCGTGGAGCCCCCACTGCCCCAGGAGAAGGCGGGGGGCCCGGCCATTCCCTCCCACCTGCTCAGCACCCCCTATCCCTTTGGCATCTCCCCCAGCTCAGTGGTGCAGGACTCCCGGTTCCCACCACTCAAGTAAGTGCAGATTGGGGGCTTGGGGTGGCTGCAAGTGCTCAGGGTCTGGGTCCCTGGGGCTGAGCCGGGAGCCGGGAGCCTGCACCAGCTGAGGCTGAGGACCGCCAGATGGTGGCTGAGCCCTGGGCCCGCAGCCAGTCTGCGCCTGCTATCTGTGTCCATGCTGAGATGATGGCTGGCTCTCCCATTCTGCCTACACCCTGTCCTGGTTCCTGGGACAGGGGTGCCTCTGGGCTGCAGATAGCAGACATGTGCCTGCTGGTGCAGACAGCGAGGGGCCAGGCAGGCTAGGAGCCAGGCTGCCCACCTCTGCGCCCTGGGCCTCCTGCCAGCACCGGCATCTCGTTAGCAAGAGCCGGAACCCGTCCCCAGAGACTCGTCCTCGGAGACTCGTCCTTCTGAGGGAGGTGGTGGCAGGGGAGGCTGACCCCTGTCCCAGCCTGGAGCGGGCCCTCCGCTCATCTCCTTCCTCTGTCCCTGCTGCAGCCTCCAGCGGCCTGTGCACCACGTGGTGCCCCCCAGCACGGTGACCGAGGACTACCTGAGGAGCTTCCGGCCCTACCACACCGCCGAGGACCTCCGCATGTCCTCCCTACCTCCCCTCGGCCTGGACCCGGCCACTGCTGCTGCCTACTACCACCCCAGCTACCTGACTCCGCACCCCTTCCCCCACCCGGCCTTCAGGTGAGCTGTCCGAGCCCGCCCTCCACGGTCCCTGAGTCGGGCTCAGGCTGGTCTGCTCATGGCAAAATGGAACCTGGTCAGGAACGTGTTTCTCATGTCCTGGGGGCCTGACTCCCAGTGAGAGCCTGGGGCAGCCCCCCACCCGTCCACACTGGCCATCGGGTTTGCCCTGGTGGAAATGCCCCACTTCCTGCCTTTGTCCTGCTCCCCAGGCAGGACTGCTGATCAGCAGCACCAGGTTCCATGGCGAAGAGAGGGGCTCCCCCGCTGTGTGCCACCCAGTGGAAGGTGGGGTCGCTCTGTAGACGCTGCCCAGCCCAATGGGGCTGTAGTGACGCGCAGGCTGCCGCCCACCTGGGCCTGCTGGTCAGACCCGGGGAGGTGCTGGCCTGGCTGAGCCTCTGGGTGGCAGGCAGGGCCTTGGTGCCCCAGGCTGTCGGCATCCAGGGGCCTGTGTCGGGGGCTTCGGGGCTGGCCATGGATGTGCCTCAGCCGGGCCTTTGTGGAGGCTGTGGGGTCAGCCTTTATCCCTTTAACTTTGGTGTTCACTGGCCTGTCTTCTTGGCACAGGATGGACGACTCCTACTGCCTATCCGCCCTGCGGTCCCCCTTCTACCCCATCCCCACCCCCGGCTCCCTGCCTCCGCTGCACCCCTCGGCCATGCACCTTCACCTCTCCGGGGTCCGCTACCCCCCGGAGCTGTCCCACTCGTCCCTGGCGGCACTGCACTCGGAGCGGATGTCCAGCCTCAGCGCCGAGCGGTAAGTCACGTCCCAGGCCAGCTGCCCCGGCCCCCATGGCAGAGCGGAGCTAAGCCCGAGACGGGGGCTGGCTTGGCCGCTTTGTGGCTAGGTGGCTCCTCAGCCACTTCTGTCCTCAGTCGCCTCGCCTGTAAACGGGACAGTGGCCGCTGATGCTTCTGGTGACTGCTGGAAGCACCGCCTTCTGGCAGGAGCTCTCAGCGAGGCCTAGGGCGTTAGTACACAACTCATGTCTTACATGGGTTCCTAACGCCCCGCGCCCTGCAGGTTAGAATGCTGGGTTTCCATGGAAACCTCGGGCGTGGCTGTCAGGTCCTCACGTCTGGGAATTCCGTCACTGGGCTGTCCTGGTCCCTTCACAGTGGAGCTCAGGCTCCCTTTCCGCTCCCACAGGCTGCAGATGGATGAGGAGCTGCGGCGTGAGCGGGAACGGGAGCGGGAACGGGAGCGGGAAAGGGAACGGGAACGGGAACGGGAGGCCGACCGTGAGCGGGAGAAGGAGCGCGAGCGCGAGAGGGAGAAGGAGCGCGAGAAGGAGCTGGAACGCGAGCGCGAGAAGGAGCGCGAGCGGGAGCTGGAGCGCCAGCGCGAGCAGCGGGCCCGGGAGAAGGAGCTGCTGGCCGCCAAGGCCCTGGAGCCGGCCTTCCTGCCGGTGGCTGAGCTGCACGGGCTGCGTGGCCACACCTCAGAGGAGCGGGTCAAGTCCGCGGAGCAGCTGACCCCAACCCGAGCAGGTACACTGGGTGGTGAGCCCGAGGGACAGACCTCGGCCCCTGGAGGTGGGCTGGCTGTTGGGGTGTGCTGGCAGGTGCTGACAGCTCTCCAAGGGGCAGGCCTGACTCTGTAGCTTCTGCCAACTCCATGTTGTAGACTCCCACCATGGCTGGTTTAACATTTTATTTCATTATAAGCATACTAGAGGCCCAGTGCATGAAATTCATGCACTGGGGGGGTGGGGGGTGGGTATCCCTCAGCCCAGCCTGCACCCTCTCCAATCTGGGACCCCTCTCACAATCCAGGACTGCTGGCTCCCAACTGCTGGCCTCTCTGCCTGCCTGATTGCCCCTAACTGCTTCTGCCTGCCAGCCTGATCACACCCTAACCACTCCCCTGCCAGCCTGATCACCCCCTAACCACTCCCCTGCCAGCCTGATCAACACCTAACTGCTCCCCTGCCGGCCTGATTGCCACAAACTGCCCTCCACTGCTGGCCATCTTGTGGCTGTGGGCGCCGCCATCTTTGAGGGTGGGACAGTCAATTAGCATATTCTGTCCTTATTGGCTGTGGGAGCTGCCATCTTTGCAATGGCATGAGGGCCAATTAGCATATTCCCTCTTTATTAGATAGGATGTATCTAACTTTCAGTAAGGGTTTATTTAACAACCGGCTTGCATGATTTATAAAACTGTGACAGTCTGCTCTGGTGAGCCAGCATGTGCCTGCCAGCACCCCGTTTCAGGTCGGTTAGCCCTGGGCTGGGTGGGAGCAGCACCTGCCAGTGGCCACCTTTCCCGTGGGACAAGGCATGCTTCCCCAGAGCATCCACAAGGCCCTTTCTGGTTGTCTTGGTCCTGGGCAGTCAGGTTCAAGAGAGAAAGAGGCAGGAGCCACCTGGGCCTGGCCTGCAGGGATCCTGCTGTGATGTGACAGCCTCTCTCCTCCCACAGAGAAGCTGAAGGACGCGGGCCTGCAGGCGCCCAAGCCTGTGCAGCACCCCTTGCACCCGGCACCCAGCCCCCATCACACCATGCCCAGCCTTCTCTCCAGCCACGGCATCTTCTCTCTGCCGGGCAGCAGCGCCGCCACGGCCCTGCTCATCCAGCGCACCAACGAGGAGGAGAAGTGGGTGGCGCGGCAGCGGCGGCTGCGGCAGGAGAAGGAGGACCGGCAGTCGCAGGTGTCGGAGTTCCGGCAGCAGGTGCTAGAGCAGCACCTGGACATAGGCCGGCCCCCAGTGCCCACGGAGCCCGAGCACAGGCCCGAGAGCACCAGGTAGGGCTCACTGGGTCAGGGGGCATGGGGAGGGGCATTTGTCACATTTACTGCGCGCCTGCGGTTTACCCAGCATCCTGCTGAGTGCCTTCACGCACTGCATTTCGTTTTCATGTTCTAACTGCTGTTTGCCCACGAGGAAACGCAGACTCTGAGGAGGGGGAGGAGGTGCTCAGAGGCTCCCTGTCCCTAAGGAACAAAGCCCACCAAGCCAGGGTCCAAAGCAGGGATCTGCACGGCATTTCAGCAGCACGAAGGAGATGCTTTAACTGATCATTATAGGCTATTCTTTGTATCTTCCTCTGTTTTCAAGTGGCTGAGAAAGGGACCACTTTTAATTTTTAAGTAAAAAATTAATTTTTGCTTCTGTAACAAAACATCCCCATTTCCTGGGCCCATTATTAAAGAACTCCCCGGAGGCACTTTTGCTTTCTCTGGGCCCCCGCCTGCTGACACTTGTGACCTTGGCCCCAGTGCCCCCTTCTCATAGCTGCCCCCTAGGCATCCTTGCTTCCACCTGTCTGTCTGGCCGTCATCTGTTGTCCCCACCTTCTCCCCATCTCTCCAGGGTTCATTCCGACTCAGAGTTGGAGAACCCGCCGAACCTCTGGAGCCCTGTTGGCCTGGCTTAGGGACTCGGGGACACCAGCTACTGCCCCTTCTCTGGGCCTCAGTTTCCTCAGCAGTGCACAAAGGAGGTTGGGCAGGGAGATTTCTGAGCATCCTTCCAGCTCTTGATATCCATCGTGCTGCCCTGGAATAGGAAGCGCTTGGGTGTCTAGGCATTTAAATGTCCACTTGCTCCCTCCCTCTTTCCAGCAGCTTTTGGCTGACATTTTCTTACTGAGTCCTGGGCTTGGCTGGCCCATCCAGCAGCCCTGCCTCAACATCCAATGCTGACTGCCAGCGAGGGGATTCGCTTGGCCAATTGGGTGTGACTGGGAGTGAACTGGAGGCTGACCCCTGGCTGGGTTTTCCCGCAGCCTCGGGCCTGCTCTCTGCTGCTCACGTCCCTGTTTCCCTGAGGCCACAGAGAGGCTGAGTCCTGTCCGTTTTCGAGCTGCTTTCTGCTCCTCTGACTCCCCTCAGCCAGGGGACTGGGAGAGCAGCCAGCACAGGTTCCTGTTCCTGGTAAAATCCGGAGCGCTGGTTCCCTCAGGCATCTTCCTCAGCTCAGGGCCCCAACCTCCGGGTGCAGCTGTCAGGGCCCCAGCAGGAGTGGCCTCCACCTCAGGGCTCCCAGCTCTCACCCGGCCTCATGGTCCCCGCGGCAGCAGGTGGCACGCTCAGCCTTACGACAGCATGAATTTGACATTCTGACCAGCCCTTGTGCTCAGAGCTAGAAAACCATTCGGTGCTTGGCTCTGGCGCTTGAAATATTTATTCTGCTAATGGGCTTTATTCCTTTGTTGTTTGCCTAAGGACACACAGCTTGCTGTGGTTCCCTTTTGTACTCTGCCGATCAGAGGTGCTACGGCGGCATCAGGGACCTCTCCCAGGCTGAGTCCCACCCCGGAGAAACTAGGAGGGGGCTTTTCGGCAGTGGTGAAACGTCTCCTTACTTGGCCAGGCAGGGAGAGACCTGACAGTCTGGTCATGTACCTGCAGTGCCCTCTGCCTTTACCCCTTCCATCCCTTCCGACCTTGCCCTGGTCTCCTGGACAGCATAGCACTTCCCTTAAAAAATACTTAGGAAAAACCACCACCAAGTAGCCTTTTGTTGGATCTTGTTTAAATGCATGACGGAAAGAGTCATTTAGGAGGACTGCGTGGCAAAGCTGCTTGGTCCGATGGACATCCTGGTCAGGCCCAGCCCAGGGCCATGTGGGGCTGCTGCAGTTCTCACGGGAACCACTGGGGGTCAGCAGTGGCTCAGGCCCACCCTGGCTGTGAGGGTCTTTCTCCCCCCACCCCCACCCTGTCACTGGGCTGGGCAGCCCTGGAAGCGGGTCTCTTTCTCTCTTACTGTTGTCTGCAAGGACAGTGTGGAGACAGGAGTTAAGGCCACCGTGAAGGCAGCCAGCCCACCCTCTGTTATCTGCCCACTGCTTGGCATATCGGGAGGTGGGTACCAAGAGCAGGGTCACCCTTTTGGCGCCAGAGTCATGTCTTTTTTCTCTGTGTAATGGGATTCCTGTGGAAAACAAAGATGAGGATCTGTCCTTATGGGAGGTGATAGGGATTCAGGAATTGGTGGAATAGAATGAGCTATTGTTAGGTTTTGGGTGAGAAACCAGATCGAAAGAGGGTCTGGCCTGGGCCTGAGACCATCTCTGTGCCCTCAGCAAGCAGAGTCCACCCACCCACCCACCGACCCCCAGCCTCCGTGTCTTTACAAAAGCAGGTCTACACACACTTGCCTCAAGTTGTTTGGAGAGGAAGTGGCGTCTTGGGAAAGAGCCAGCACTCAGGTGAGGAGTGGAAGCTGCGTCCTTCCCTCCAGGCCCTGGCCAGGTGGCTTAGAGAAGGAGGCCTCTGCACCCCTCTAGCGCCTGGCTCTCAAAGGCGGCTCCCGTCTGGGCCATCTCTGAAGCTGCCTATTACACCCGGGCCCTGGGAGGCCCATGGCTGGGTGGCTGGCATGCCCATTCTCATGACTAACGACTTGGTCTGTTCACTCCCTAGGCCGGGACCAAACCGTCATGAGCCGGGTAGCCGAGACCCCCCGCAGCACTTTGGCGGGCCCCCGCCCCTCATCTCGCCCAAGCCCCAGCACCACTCCGTGCCCACGGCCCTCTGGAACCCGGTGTCCCTGATGGACAGCACCCTGGAGACACGGCGAGCCCCCGAGAGCCACCCTCTGCACAGCCACCCTGCCCTGTTCGAGCCCGGCCGGCAGGCGGCAGTCCCGCTGGTGAAGGTGGAACGGGTCTACGGCCCAGAAAAGGTGGAGGAAGGGCCCCGGAAGCGCGAGGCCACCCCCCTGGACAAGTACCAGCCGCCTCCACGGGAGTCGGGGAGCCTGGAGCAACAGGCCTTTCCTCACGGGCCTGGGCCCTTCTTGGCTGAGCTTGAGAAGTCCACCCAGACCATCCTGGGCCAGCAGCGGGCCTCCCTCACCCAGCCACCCCCCTTTGGGGAACTCCCTGGACCCCTGAAGCCGGGCTCACCCTACCGGCCCCCGGCACCACGCGGCTCTGACCCCGCCTACATCTATGATGAGTTCCTGCAGCAGCGCCGGAGGCTGGTCAGCAAGCTGGACCTGGAAGAGCGCAGGCGGCGGGAGGCCCAGGAGAAAGGTCCGGTCTCCCTGGGTGGCGTCTGACCTCCGGGGACTAGAGAGCCGTAGTGCCCGCCACTCAGCCCCTCCTACCACCCCTGCCTCCCGCTCGGGGTTTAACAGCTCCAGGGAGCAAGGGCACTGGCTTCTGTGTAGCTACCTGATACCTCTGCTGGGAGATAGACCCAGGGCCTTTGCCTGTCTTGCTGAAATGCAAATTGTCCCAAAAAGCCAAATCAAAGCCTGTCTGTAAAGATGGTTCCACAGAAATGCATGATTAATAAATGATGAACAGAGGCTAATAAGGCAGTTTTAAATATTAATAGTCCATCATAACAAGGGAGGAGGCTATTGAGCCCAGCAGGGGTTGGTATAGGGAGCTGTCATCAATTGCAGGCATTCAGGCCTGGGCAGGGCAAAAGCGGGAAGTCTGGCCACCTGTTTCCTGCTCCTGTGGGGTTGCGGGGGGCTCAGCCAGCAGCACCCTGAGCTCCCCAAAGAGCCAAGGAGAACAGGTGAGCAGGGTGAGAATGACTGTCTCCACCTGCAACCCCCATGTGACCAGGAGGGGCCAGAGGCCCAGACCAGTTTCTCATCTCTTGCTGGAAACTGGGGTCCTATGCGGGTTGTATTCAGTCTCTTAGCCGGAAGCTGGGGCCGAGGCCGAGACTTCCCAGGTGGTTGGTCTAGGCGAGATTGAGGGCCCAAGAAGGACTTTCTCCTCTATCCACCTTGTGAAGGAAGAGTGGGGAGCCCCTGGGCGCAGGGATTCTGCTGCTGTTCTCTGCACATTGAGTTTGTGTGCATGCTCTGTGCCTTTGAGACAACAGGATCTGAGTGTGCATGTCCCCTCCTGGGTAATGGACCCAGATGGCCACAGCAGGAGTGAGCTGATGTGCATAAACAGTCTTGGGTTGCCATGGACACAGCCCCAGTCCTGTGTGATGAAGGGTCCCCTGCTGGGGATGTGTCAGCCCAGGAATTGCCTGGCCACTTGGGGGCTCTGGGTCTAAGCCAAGCCTGGTGCCTGCCTGCTGCCCCTGCCTGCCATTCCTAAAAAAGTTCTAGGCCTCGGGGCTAATGCACATTTTCACCTGGATTGAAAGCAGTCGAGGTTTCAGGGTACTAAAAGGGCCAGCAGGGCCTGGCCTGATGGGTGGGTCTGCACAAAGGTCACAGAGGTGCCTGCCCCCATGTCCATCCACTAGAGAACGGAGTGTTCTTGCCCAGCTAAATACAGCTATTCTTGTCACCAGGATACTACTACGACCTCGATGACTCCTATGATGAGAGTGACGAAGAGGAGGTCAGGGCCCATCTCCGCTGCGTGGCCGAGCAGCCGCCCCTCAAACTGGATACATCCTCCGAGGTATCGGGTCTCATTGCTGTGTCAGGCTACGTGCCCACATTAGCGCCTGCCTCTTGGCTTTCCCACTGTCCCAGTAGACCCCACATCTGCTGGGCTCTCCCTCGCTCCTCCAGTCCCCACAGACTGCAGGTGCCTGGGCGTGCTATCAGGGTCCCCCTCCGAGGCCCAGCACAGAGTTGGCCATGGTACATGGGCTTGGGGGACCCTAGGAGGGACCCCTGGGACAGTGCAGTCACACCACTGCTGGTGGTTTCAAACTCATTTGTTTTCTTTCCCAATCTAGAAGCTAGAGTTTTTGCAACTTTTTGGCTTGACCACCCAACAGCAGAAGGAGGAACTGCTGACCCAGAAGCGGAGGAAGCGGCGGCGGATGCTGAGAGAGAGAAGCCCATCGCCCCCGACGATTCAGAACAAGCGGCAGACACCTTCGCCGAGACTGGCCCTGTTCACCCGCTATAGTCCCGACGAGATGAACAACAGCCCCAACTTCGAAGAGAAGAAGAAGTTCCTGACCATCTTCAACTTGACCCACATCAGTGCCGAGAAGAGGAAAGGTAGGGCCTCGCCTGGGCCTTTTGTGGGTGGGGCTCACTAGGAGCTTCTGGAGAAGCAAGTGGGGTTCATAGGCTCCTGGGGATGTCCAGGACCCACGTTCCAGGCAGAACCTGAAAACACTTTGGCCCGAGGCGCTCTTACCGCCTTTGGGCTCCCCAAGGAAGCAGCAAGCAGGCGGCCCACTATCTCCGCCTTCTTCCATCTGAACTCAGATTGTCCCACTCGAAGCCTGTTTTTCCATTTCATCTGGAGTGGAAGAGAAACTTGCGAGTATTTTGTTCTGTATGTAAAGCTGCTCTTGTCACTTGTCGCTTGAGAAGGCAGGTTTAGCGACGCTGTTGGTACACGGCGCAGTGCTGCTCCTGTGGCAGAGCACTCCAGCTCTGGCCGGGCGTTTCCTCTTGCCGGGCCACCGGCATGGCCACCGGGCTTCGTCTCTGATGGCAGGAGGCTTGGGTGGCCTGTGGCCGCCAGCAGAGCCGACGCGCATTGTGAGTGGGCAGCTTGCCCTGAAAGGTGCTTCCAGATCGGCCCTGTTGGGACTGATGCTTGGGGCTGGAACACGTGGTGTGGAAGACATGGTGTGGCGTGAACGCTTTCTGGGGATGTCCGCTTCCTTGATCTGCCCCCACACGCTCGCTTAGTGCCGGGATATTGGTTGACGTGAGAACTTGACCTGTCTGGGGTGCTCGTTTGCGCACTTCCACGTCCCCCTTGCTGATACCTGTCACCTCTCCCTGAAAGGAAGTCAAAAAGAAAGCAAAGGTGTGTTGGTCATTTAGTTGCTTCTACTTACTTCGCTGTTGGGGTGTAGCATTTACTTTTTGTCTTTAACCAACAAGCTGGAATTCTCACGTTCACCTCGAAGGGGCAGGGACATGTGATGAGCAGCACAAGTCTCTGGGAGCATGCACAGCTCTGTCGTGGAAAGTGTCTTTTTCCCTGACTTATTCTAGAGGAAACCTTTTAAGTCTCACCAAGAAGTGCCACTGCAACAGGAATTTGTGGCATCGAACATCACAGGAGTCTTCCTTTTCCATACGGGGCAGCTGTCGTGGGAATTGATGCCAGGAGGAGGAGGGGGAAGAGAACGCGCCTGAGAGCAGCCTGCGCTTCCAGGGGTTGCTTCATTATGTTGGGGCCAACATTTTTGTCTTTTAAATAAGAATGCATCCTCGGAAGTTACCGTGGGAGATCACAGCTCCCCATTTTGTCGCATAGCTGTCATCACCACACTCACAGCTATTTTTGGAAAACCTCTGAAATGTTCCGCAGGGAAAGCTGAGGCATCTGGGCTCACTCTGACACCAAGGTTTCTTCCTTTAAACACCACCTGTCCCAGTGGTGCCAGCTTTGTGTTTTTTCTTGGTTAAAGGACTTGCACCTGCCAGTCGCAGCCTGGGCTAGAATCCGCCCCCCTTCCCTCTCAGAAATAATGCAACTGTCTTGTTAATCTCAGGCTGCTTTTCTCATAGACAAAGAGAAACTTGTCGAAATGCTCCATGCCATGAAGCAGAAGGCACTGTCAGCGGCAGTGGCAGACTCTCTCAGAAACTCTCCGAGGGACAGTCCTGCTGCCTCCCTGAGCGGTAAGGCCCAGGGCGGGAAGAACGGCCCCATCCGCCACTGCCCAGGACCGTCCTGTGGGCTGCCCAGGGTCAGAAGCGACTGCTCAAGGTCTTCATCATGAATCTTTCCTCCTGGAGATAGAGTGCTTCTCCCTCTCTCTCTCATACAAGCTTCCTCCATGATGGCGAAGGATCTCCTCGGGCCAGAACATGAGAGCTGAAGTCAGGGCTCAGAGAGTGAAGGGGAGTGTCCAGGCTTCTGGCGGTCACTGTAGTTGTAGCCACCGTCCGTCAGTCCAGGGGTGGCCCAGGCCACCGAAGCCCTGTGTCCCAGGTCTCGGCACCTCTGCTTCGGCTCTGCTGCTGCTGTCTGCCCTTCCTTGGCACTCTCTTGCGTCTTTCTTGCTCATTCTGCCTTCCAGGCCTTTCCAGCATCTGTTTTCACACCTTCTCTCTCTTATGGCTTTGATTGCGGTGCTGCTGAGTGGAGCAGATCTTTATTATCCAGCCCTGTCCTTAACTCCTAACGCAGTCTTTCTTGTCGGGTCGAGTTGGGCTATATAACTTCTTGCCTTTTGGATGACCTGAAGTGACTCTCTTCTTCCTTCAGATTCCTTTTCTTCCCAGATGCCTTCCTGGGGCACCTTCCAAGGATGGACTTGCTGCTACCACACCCCGTCCTCAGGCCACACCTGTGCACTGACATTTAATTAAACGGCTCTGAGTCTTGGTCCTTTGTACTAGGTCTTGTTAAGTGTAAGCCATAGAGGTCAGGGCCCACCTGGTCTCTTGTAGCTCTTAATATTTTCCTCACTTTCTGTCTCTAAAAGAACCAGCCACGCAGCCAGCCTCTCTGGATATGGAAAAGCCGGTGGGTATTGCTGCTTCCCTGTCTGACGTCCCAAAGGCCACAGAGCCTGGGAGACTGGAGCAGCTCCGGCCACAGGAACTGTCTCGAGTCCAGGAGCTGACTCCTGCCAGCAGCGAGAAGGCCAGGCTGAATGAGGCCCCCGGGGGCAAGAAGAACCTGAGCATGATGCATTACATCAGGGGCCCCGCCCCCAAGGACATTCCCGTGCCCCTGTCCCACAGCGTCAATGGGAAGAGCAAGTCGTGGGAGCCCTTCATGGCAGAGGAGTTTGCACATCAGTTCCACGAGTCCGTGCTGCAGTCCACCCAGAAGGCCCTCCAGAAGCACAAAGGTAAGGCGGCTGCCCGCCCTGGGTGCGCCCCTCTGGCACATCAGTGTTCAGGAGGCACCTGGGGAGGTCGTCAAAGGCAGAATCCGCCTCAGCAGGTCTGGGTGGGGCCTGAGAGTCTCCACTTCCAGCTGGTGCTCGAGTGATGCTGCCGGGCGGGGACCACACTTGGAGAAAACTTAACGTGAGGCCACCTGAGTTTAGTAGAGGCACTTCTTTTAGTAAGGCCAGGCGGGGTGGCTTTCTGGCAAAAATAGGGTCCACGTGTCCCACAGCTGAGGGTTTTCCCAGTGTCCCCATACAGACTCACCTGGAGATCTCCCCATCCTTGAATACTAGACTCAGTGGGCCTGGTGAGCACTTTGTGATCTAGTGGTTGTGCTAACACCTCATGTGAGCCCCCATATTCACTCTCCCAAATTTTGGTGAGAGTCACTGATGATTGGAGAACAGGGTTTGCTGTATTTCATTTCCACTCTCCTCCCCAGGGAACGTAGCCGTGCTGTCCGCAGAGCAGAACCACAAAGTTGACACGTCCATCCACTACAACATTCCTGAGCTGCAGTCCTCAAGCCGGCTCCCTCTGCCCCAGCACAACGGGCAGCAGGAGCCCCCTGCCGTGAGGAAGGGCCCCCTCACACAGGAGACGGACCAGGACTCGGAAGAGGAGGAAGAGGAGGAGGATGGAGAAGAGGATGATGAGGAACCCCCCAGGCGCAAGTGGCAAGGGATTGAGGCAATTTTTGAAGCTTACCAGGAACATATAGAAGGTACAAAGGGGAGGGAGGAACAGAATGAGGGCCCAGTAAAGAAAGTCAGTGAAAGTTTAATAGACCAATAAGTGCAGGACTTCACTGCCAGCGTTAGGGACAGTTTCTAAGGGACAGTACTGGCAGATTTTCTGGGGCACTAGATGCTAATACTAGAAGGTGAATTTTCCTCCATTTTGCCCATTTTAAGAACTGTTCCTCAGGCTTCTGTAGGTGCCCAGGCTTATTCCACGTGGGGCAGGGACATGTGGTAATTCCTCATGGGCAAACTTGAGACCATTCTCACCGGAGCTATGTACAAGGGTCCTGGAAAATGCAAAGCTCATTAATTTAGCTGAGCTCTGAATAGCCAGGCCTGATCCCTGTGTGAGCCTGCCTTGCATTCGAAGTGTCTCAATGCTGGCGGCACTTTCACTCTCAGGCCAGTCCTTTCTGTGCATGGAAGCAAGCCCATCAGCCACCAGAATGTTTTATTCTCAACTGTGGGTGCACACTCCACCCCTGCCTGGTGGAACACATCTTGTGGGCACACCCCTCCCACACTGGTCTCGTGTACCGAGTGCGGGGGTCACAGGCTTGCACGCTGGTGGAGCTCTGGCATTGCTTCCAGCACACAACCGCCCTTCTCTGCACCTCATTTTCCTTGAGATGCCTGCAAAGGCCCCTTCCAGCTTAGTTAGAGACTGTGTGCTGTGAACTTGATGCAGGGAAGTGGAGGAGCCCAGCCTTTCCCTCCAGTGAAACAGGCAGGTGGACTCCCAGGAAGGACGAGGAGCACTGGCAGGCACTCTGAGCTCCTGGTCTGTCCTGCTGACATGGTGAGCCCCGCCCCTCTGCACTCCATTCAGTCCTCACTGCAGTGCCGTCAGTTTGACATGAGTTGAGAAATGCAAAACCCAGGCTGCCACCTCCTAATTAATTCATTTCCATATCACACAAGTTTTATCAAGTATTACTATGTTGTAAATATAAACATTTGATTAGGAATAGCATAATCATTTCAAATACTTTGAAAAGTCAGAGACAGACTAACAAAGGGACAACCAGAGTATCAATTCCTACTGTTCATTCCGTTTCCTCCTTCAAATGGAATCCTTTATTTGAATGTGTCCATCACTTCTTGCCTGTTGCTCTTAAGTACATACGTATGTATCCAGAAGCAATGTATAGCATTATTATTTACTTCAATGGAGTGAGGTGTATCCACTTTTTCTGGGTTGATGTTTGTTGGTGACTTGTTTGGGAATTCCTTCCCTACCTCCAAGGACATACTCTGCATTTCCTTCTGAAAGTATTCACGTTCTGCTTCTCTTATGCCTAGAATTCACTTGTGTAAGAAACAAGGTAGAAATATAACCTCATCTTTCCCGCCTGGACAACCAATTATCCTGGCGGTTTCCAGGATGCCTCTTCCCTCTGGGCATGCCTATCATGCAGCATCCTCTCCTGTGCCCAGGTCTCTCTGGTGCTGTTCTGCTCCACCCATTGGGGTCCTGGCCCGTCCCTGTGTCATACCATATCTTTGCAGCACTCTGTTGTCAGGAGTAACTCACCCTGACTTCTTGTTCTCTAACAGCTCAGCTGTTCTAGGCCCTTTGTTTTCCCGGTGAATTTTAGGATCACCTTATTTGTTCCGCCCAATTGAATTCACAGATTTGGGAAGAATTGACATCTTTAATAGTGATATTATTCCACTTATGAATAGGATAGTGAATTATACTAAATAAATTTTGCTGACTTTTCTCCATGAGTAGTTTACTTTTATTAGATTTAGTTATCACTTTGATATTGTGGGTTTTTAATTTTTGTTAGCCCTTCTTCCTTAGGTAATCAGAATCAGACCTTTTGCAGGTTTAGTTCTTTCGAGTGTTTAACTTTTTCTCATATTGCATTTCCTAGAACCTCTAAGCCATTGAATTAGAGGCACACTAACTAACTGGGCTCTTGTGAAACTTTAGAAGCGGTCCATTAAGCATCTCATTTGCTGCTGAGCTTATGGTATATGATCGTCAAAGGTTTAACTAATGCAGTTTCTGTACCCATTGAGATGATGACCCTACTTTTGTTTTCTAATGTCATTTCCTCCTTGCTGAATTTAACTTGTTACTTCTTTTAAGGTTTTAAATCTACTGAAGTGGTATTAGGTGCTAATTTTATTGTATTTATTTTGCTGAAACTGTTCTAGTTTCTATAAAATTAGTCTGGCAGCCTTCCCTGGTTTTTATTCTTGGAAATACTTTGTGTGATGCAGGGATTTACCCTTGCAAGTTTGAAGTCACTCTTCTGTTAAAAGCAGGCCTGGAATCTTTCAGAAGAGCAGATTTCATTTTACTAATTCGAACTCCACTTTGAATTTCTAGGTTTATTCTGGCTATTTATACCAGCTTAAAAACTTCCAAGACTAACACCAATATTTTTTATCTTTCTTTTTGAAAAATGTACCTTAAGGCCATAAATTTACCCTTAATTTCTTAATCTGTATCCCTTAAATTGCCTTTCGATGCTCGATCCTTTGATTCCACTGGGCTGGATTTAATTTAGTAACACTGACATATTTACCAGCATGATACCAAGAATTTGGAGCCTTATGGTCCCAAGGAGAGTACTATGCTGGCTGCATGAGAGGGAAAACAATCGCAGAGTCTGTGATCCCTGTACACAGAAAATACATCAACAGCGCTTGTCTTTTCAGAGCAAAATCTGGAGCGGCAGGTGTTGCAGACGCAGTGCAGACGGCTGGAGGCCCAGCACTACAGCCTCAGTCTCACAGCGGAACAGCTCTCCCACAGCATGGCGGTGAGTCTTGGGTCGCCACACACGAGAAAAGGAATGAAAATCAGCTCCAGAGGAGGTTTTCTTAAAACACACTGTGCTTCTTCTGTTTAACCTTTGGGTTCAAGATTAGCCATACAGACAAGTTTTGAGGGACAGTCCTGCTCTTAAGAGTTTAAAGCTTATAGTCCTAGGGAAGACGTTCAAGGCTCAGTTGATTACCCTAGCCAAGGAGGGAGGCATCACTCATTTGCAGAATATTGATCCTGGAAGAATGAAGATGCAATATTCCTTTTGGGGAATTATTTATTGCCTTTGTCAGTCTCCCCTGCTGTGATTTGCTAAGGAAAAAGGAAGAAGGATTTTACTGGAGTAAAGTTATTAAGGAAAACAAACCACCTCCTTCCTCTTTGCAGCCTGGCCCAACAGGTTGTCCAACTATGACATTTGGCAAGCCCCAAGGGCTTCCTCCCAGTGGGGACATGGGGCTTATCTCAGATCAGGTCTGCACATCTTGGCCACTCCTACGCAGTAAAGGTTTTAATTTTTAAAGCTCAGGGTCGAAGCTGAGACAACAGTGGACACTGGTTCCATGAGAGCAGGTATTGTGAGAACCCAAGACGTAGGAAGAACCAGTTCAGCCTGCCCCCAGAGGCGCTGTTCAGAACACTGAACTGGAAGGAGGAGGTTTTCAAAGTGGCCTCCAGCACGTTTCTTCATCACATACAGTTCCGTGAAACCAGTTTGTTTAATGTAAATCTCTCTCTGCAGGAATTGAGGAGCCAGAAACAGAAGATTGTCTCAGAAAGGGAGCGAATCCAGGCGGAACTGGATCACTTCCGGAAGTGCCTTGCATTGCCTGCATTGCATTGGCCTAGGGGTTACTTTAAGGGATATCCTAGGTGACGGTTTCCCTTGCACTAGGCCGAACCTATAGTATAGAAATATTATCTATTTTATTACCTTGAATATTTAATATTTTTCACTGGGAGGTTTGAAGCTTAAAAAAAATAATAAAGAATGTGCCATGCATGAAGCAAAGGATTCCAGACTCCAGAAAAAGAACGAACTCACCTTGACTTCAATGCAACTGAATCACCTTTGTAATTCAGCGAGCAACCAATGTAGGACATCGCCCATATATTTTTTTAAAAGGCAATTTTATTTCTTTCCCCATGTCACCGTTTTAAAATCTGAAAATGAAGGCTCCGTTACCAACACTAAAACTTTTATCATTTATAGCCCCTGGGTGCATAAGATTGGATCAAACTGCTTGTGTTCTATTTCTTGTGTTGCCATATTACTATGCCTGAAGACCCAAGTTTGCTTTTGCTGCAGCAGAGGGTCGGTCTCATGCCTCCCCAGGACTGAGACCTGCTTCAGCTGAATGAAGGTGGGGTGCATTTTAAGTGAAGGGCTTATTTGTTTTGGTTACTTTTCTGCAAAATTTTCTTCAAAGCAACAGTACTAAAAGTCTCACCAATAGCAGGCTTTTCCCTGGAAAAGCTCTCACCTAAAGATAAAGCAAATTCACAAACTGAAGGTACCTTTTTTATTACTCCATGGGGTGGGGGGGGAGTGTACAGAGCTCTATGTATACATAAATGCACACCCACCAAATTGTTGCTGCAGTGGGGGGTGTTTTCATACAAACAAATTTTGAGAGAAAAGTCAAAGGTGCTTCAGCCTTGTACTGTGTATATATATTAAAAAACAAAGTTTTGTATGTTTTTATTACTTTAATTATTGTTATAAAAGGCCTGCCATTTTTAATATGTGGTTTTGGGGGATTTTTGTTTGTTTTCCTGTTTTGGGGTTTTGTGTTTTGTGTTTTTTTTCTGGGCAAAAAAAAAACAAACAAACTTGCTTTTAGTGTTTGTACTGCTGCTGGTCAGGACATTAAATATTGAAGTGTTTTTAAAAATTAAAGACGAAGAAAAGTAAAAGAGCTTACCACTGGCGCCTATGCGATCACTTCATTTTTGAGTTGCACCAGAAAATGATCTAGAAAGCCATGCGTTACTTCTTACCTCCTTCTCTACCCTCTCCCCCCAGCTCTGGACAGCAAATAGCAGTTATACCTAGTTGCTATCAGTGAGGAGGGGCTAGTCTATGGTGAACAAGACATACTGGGTGTGCACCTATGCATGCACCTACAGACATGGGGCTTTTTGCAAAAGAACCTTTCAGGAAGTGAGCAGTTTGTGATAGCATTCTAAGGTGTCTTACAGCAGTCTGAGAACAGGTGCAAAGTAGAAACTCTAGAGGCTTTATTTAGATGCAAAGCTTTGTAAAAGCCTAAAAGTAGAATAAAGGATAAACAATGTCTGAGCTGAACTTCTCCTCCTTTTGAACTGACTGTGACAAGCACAGGAGCAGCTAGAAAGATAATCAGATCAGTGCAAAGCAATGGGGAAATTTTTCCTTCTTGTCCCAGTTAACTGCTCACTCAGGCAGGGTTTAATAGATCAAGCAAGTATCTCTTGCCTGAATGGGCTTGAACCAGAGGCTAAAGCAGCCAGTGGTTGGTCTGCCAGGGGAGAGGGGATGGGAGGAGGTCTGAGTGTGATCACGCCTCCCCTTTACCCAGGGGAAGGGCTGGCTGACCTTCATGAAGGCTACTCACTGTGATCAGTGGCCGCACCCTCAGCCCCAGACCTTAGCTGTGCAGAACAGCTTGCTGGCAGATGGCATTGTGTCGCTTTATCTGTTCCCACACAGTTTGCTTTGTATGTCTGCCAAGAATCTTCCAGTTATTAGCAAACTCAGACAAAAAGTGCCGCCAGTATTATCAGCAGTCAACAAGCGCCTTCCTCTCCACAGAAACGATTTGACGAGATCTAAGGGCTGTTCTGTGGCCTCCCCTGCAAAGACATTGAGAGATCAACATGTTCCACAGGTGGGGACAGGTGTTTAGAGGGAACTCTATTGCCAACAATCAGGGCAAAATGTCACTGAATTTCTCTCTTTAAAATCTGCTTGCTGCTTCTGGTCTGAAAGCTTAAGAGCTACATCTTAGCACTTCACTCCCAGTCCTCCTTCGCCATCACAGAATGTCTGAGTACTAGTAATTTTGCTGATCAGCTTTGGTAATGGCCTTGGCTTAGAAAAAGAAAAACGTAGACCTGATAACTTGATGGGAAAGGAAAGCAGAGCCCCATTCCTCCTCCAGCCCAGGGGGGCTCCCTTGGGGTTTGTTTAGTTGTCAGGGAGGACGTCCCTGCGCTAGTAACAACTGCTTTTCCTTCTTCCCATTGAAAACGCCACTATCACCCTGCACTTGAGCTTCTGTCACTCCGTCACACCAAACTCCCACCCATCTCTAGAGATCTCTGCATATTCTTGGGCTTAAGAAGTAATATGACAATCAGAGAATATAAATATACACCAGAAAAGGCAGCATAATAAACTAAGAAAAAGGTAAAGTGTCTTTTGAAACAAATGCACCACTAAGACATAGTACCCAATAATGGTTTTTCCATCCAATAATTAGTTCTAAAATCTTAAAACACATTTTCATCTCATCTAATTTTTCTTTTCAGTTTGGGCTTAAAAATGGGCAAATATGCACTCTGAAGATTTTGTTCAGCTATATCACACTGAGTTTAAAAGACACAGCTCAGAAGAACACCGAATTTGCTCTAGAATTGATTTTGCAACCTGTGTCAGTCCTCCACGGCCTCATGTGCTTCCTACAGCACCGGCAGGAGATGGCTGTTTTGTTAACTTGTGAGGGACACCTTCCAAAGCCGAATCCCCAGCTTCGCATTTAATCAAATATTTAGGGACAAACCAAGAGCGTTCCTCAAAACTTGGATCTACATACCTGATCATTTGAAAATGCATTGGTTCTCTGTTTCATATAATCAGAGCCAAACTGACAATGAAAACATTTCATGATATAATCCATTGCCTAACATAAATGGCCAAGGTAGGGTTTTCAACAGTTTTAGTCTACATTCTAAAGGAAATAAAACACTAAATTGGCATTAACCTTCTATTAGATAATACCCTTAAGGAAATTCAAAGAATATTCAGCAGTGAAGAATTATAACACAAGAAATCTTACGTTTGTACATGGAACGGTATTTCCTAAAGGCTGCCTAATCTCAAACATTACATCAAGATACTCCCTTTCCCCCTGAGCCATGTGTTTTTAAAGTGTAGAAAATTCCAAGGATCCACCACAAGATGGAGATGATCAGCACAAGCCGATTCTGTTACTCTTAAATAAGTGTATATTAGCCATTTAGCAGCAATCCCTATACTCTTTCAAGTAACCAAGCTATTGACTTTCTTACTACTTGCAGTAGCCTGTCCCCAACTTTTGATCCAGCACTTAACTTAAACTCCTTAACTCTGCCTAGACCTGAGGAAGACCATGCTAATTGGTTGTGTTACTTTGTATGTACCCTGTGTTTAATTGCTAGAACAGTAAACCAGTACATGGGAGGGAGGAGGAACAGTGCCTCGGTCACTCTGGGGGCAGTTTAGATGCTGTGAAATTAAACCTGTTCTAAGTGTACTTGTTTGAATTAATTGTATTGTAATATTATTTGTTGAATGTAGTAATTAGGTATTTATGAATATATTGCTGTAATTTCTGACAACATCCAAAAAAAATAAAATCTTCCTAAATCATGTTAAGAGGAAAATCTCTTTTATGCTATAATAAAAAGACCAAATTTTTTTTTTTTTTTTTTTTTTTAATGCTCAACAACTATACAGCTTTACAGGTAAAATGTGAAGACAGATCCAGTGTACCTCAGTCAGGTTTTAGGAGAAAGGTATTAGGGGCTGATCTGAGCTACACAGGATTCCTGACCCTTCACAATAAGGTGGCTTCATTCAAGAAGATTCCCCGGATTAAAATCAGAAGGACTCAGTAAAAGTGACAAGAAAAGGCAAGTCCTGTCATATGAAAGTGGTCCTCTAAGCCAGCGGTTGCCAACCTTTCAGACCTCACAGACCACCGGTTGTCAACTACTGCTCTTAACAGTCACCTTAACTGATAAAAACAAGTCTTCTGTATCCTAATCCCTCTGTTCCTGGCCCTTCGGTGTTCAAACAACCATCAGCTGCTTGTTGGAGGGACATCTAGATGGACAGCAATGAGGAATGGAGAAACCTGAAGTAAGTTTGGACTTGAAACACTGAAGAGCAGATACCAGCAGGTCTTTTCCAGGCTCAGCTGATCACATACACTCTTCAAAAAGCTCTTGAGATAGCATGTGACAGTCGAAAACCACCAGGTTACAGAAGCTGCCACTCATTGTATGATTCTAGACCAGCGATTTTCAACCGGTGTGCCACAAGCATTTTTTTAAACATGGAATACCTGACTATTTAGTCAGGGGCACTGACCTCTTTTCCCTTAGATTGTCAAATAAAAAATGGCAGTAGCCAACACAATAGCTGTCAACAGTGTGAATGAATCAAAATTATACCTATTCTTTTTGGTCAGATTGGCAAGATAGTTTTTTTTGGTGTGCCGCAGAATTTTAGTAATTACGTGTTTATGTGTGCCATGAAATGAAAAAGGTTGAAAACTGCTGCTCTAGACAATCTTTTCCCCTTTCAGGGCAATAAATTTTCTATGAGCAATTTAGCAATTCCAAAACGCTATCTTTGAATTTTTTTCTCTTAGAATTTACCCTTCTTTGAGCCACTGCTCCCTATGACCATCTTACCCTAAGACCCATGAAGAGCAGTGTTATAGGCCCAACGGTTCTTAGCACTGTGCTCCACTCACATACTCAGAGATCATGGTCAGGTTTTAAAGCAGCCCTTCAAACTGTAACCAGAAATAGCAAAGATAACAAGAGACAACCAGAGTGTTTGAAGTTTACAACCTGCTACACACCTCAGTTTGGCCTATCATTATCATTTTAGCCACATGGCTTAAGCAGGAAAAATAAACCCAACAGATTGGGTTGATTCCATCTTTATTCTGTATCAGGGGTGGGGAACATCTAGCCTGTGGGCCTTATAAGGCACTCAATCATTTGGTCTGCCCCTACCAAGGCATTAGGGGTGTTAATTAAATGTTTGACCAAATAGAGCAGGCTGATTTTTAAGTTGATAATTTTGTATGGCCTGCAAATGATGTTATAAATATTCAAACGGCCCTTGGCAGAAAAAAGGTCCCCCACCCCTGGCTGAGATCAACCCCTGTCGGCATCACAAGCCACCATCTGCCATCCTCCTCTATGTGAGCAATCTCTAGATTTAAATTCAGCTAAAAAGATCCATATCAAAACAACAAAGTCCTAGGGCCCCATCACCATTTGTATCTGTCTTTTCAAAGCAACATGAACACTCACCCACACATAACAGTTCCGTGCAGGAGACCTGAGACCGTGCTAGGGAGAATGGCTTGTTTGTTGAAGCTTTTTCTTTCCTCCATAAAGGAGCAGTTGGCCTCTAGAGACAGATGTGGAATTAATGAATATCTTAAGAACTAAACATAACCTGTTGCTTTCCAACAATGTTATGAATCCATTCCTTGCTTCATTGCACGTTTTTCTTACATTCAAATGGTTCTAGAAACCCAGCACTGAGTACCTCTATCATGTCCTGAGCACTCACACATTACCCGGTAAGCCTCATGCCAGCAGACACAAGGCCTTTACAAATCAAAGGTCATTCTCTAGAAGTCCTGAGACTGGGCACTTTCAGAAGGTTGCAGGTTTGTACGGAGTTTGTACATGTGATTGAGAGCTTGTGTGAGGAATGCCCCGCTGGTGTTGATCTCCATCAAGGTCAAATTATCCAGCTAAAACACAAGAGAAAACAGGGTTGGTTGAGAAGTTTCTGATTGAGAAAAAGTAAAAAGTCTACTGAACAAAAAATAAGAAACCAATAATTTTTAAAAGCACAGCCAGTAATTCCTGCTTGTGAGAGCCTAAGCAGCAGAATGCTGTCGGAAATCCCTCAGCAGTACACCTACCTTCGCATGTGCCTCCTGCTGCCTCACAAAGCTGTCAGCAGATACCCGGAGTTTGGCTATGCGAGTGTCCCACACATCCTTGATCAGGGTGCGGATCTCATCTGCTTTTGGAATGTTGTCTGAAGCACTAAAGGAAACAAATAAATTGCATAAGGAAGAACTCAGTAAACTAAAGCAATATCCAGCTAAAAGTGGCTTTAAAAAGAAAAAGGTTGCTTGGATTCAGGTAAAATACACACACTGTCCTAGACTCAGATTTTGTTTTGCTTTGTTTTCAATTTTAAAATGTAAGGATTCCTAGCAGTTAAGCGTGGTGCCAAGAAAATTCAGCCATGATCCACAGTTATGCTCATGTAACCTGTCCCCTGGCGGGCAGTGGCACAAGGGCTTCTGTTCCGTAAAATAATAAGAGACTAAACTCTACGTTGGACATCCTGTGTCTCAGGATAATTGAGTGCTCTGTGCTATAGAATGAATTTGTTTCAAGGCTGGTTCAGAGGTCATGACTTTTATTGCTCAGACCTCATCGGTTACCCAAGGGCTTACAACCCACCAGGGAAAGACAGCAGCTCTATGCCTGCCATGTGCTCAGCACTACACAATACTTCTATCCTCGCAAAAGTCCTGAAGAGTAGACATGGGCCTACTCTACAGAGAAAACAAAAATACATTTACAAAAATCACAGAAGAAATTGCAAATTAGCATAACCTGAGCACATTTTACATAATGAATTCTGGGTAAAAGTTTGACTTGGAGTCAGAGAGAGATGGTCAGTCTTCCTGTGTGAGATTTTTTAAACTAATCTTTGAAGGAAAAGACAAACTAGAAGATAAAAGCAGAAGCTCACATCATCATCACCAGGCATTCTAGGATAAGCTGGAAATGACCTCTTCACATGCTAAAATTAGCTCAAGATTAGTAGATGGATAATCAGTGGTATAAAGTTTATGTAGTGGATTTTACTTAAAGCCCAAACATCTGGATCCTTTGCTCTGAACAGCAGTAAAGAACAAAGAACCCAGCTCCTTGAACTGCAGAACAAAGGTACAATTAAGTCCCTCAGCCAAATGAATTCTAAATAATTCTAAGACAAGAGTTTCAATAAGAACTGCATACATAATGTACGGAACGGGCCTCTGCTTCCCGATTCTCCACTCCGATTCGCTCTCCCCACTGCCACAGCAGCCTTTCTCAGATCCATAGGTGGCACACTCCTTCCTGAACACCCTCCTGGGGCCTCCAACAGAAAAGCCTCGGCTCTCCCACCCCATACAGTCTGCATGTGTCCCAACAGCTCTGTTAGCCAAACACACCATGTCCTTTCACACCTCTGCCTTCTCCCCCAGATATTCCTTGATCTTTCCAGCCCGAGATCCCTTCTCTGATAACACCAGGCATTAGGGTTGCATCCCAACATACTCTGAACGGTATTTATCACACTGCAGTGTAACCACTGGGTAACAGGGTCACATCTCTCCCCGACTAAACCAGGAACTCAAGCCCATTATCACTACCTAGTTAATGCTTAGTAAGCTGTGAACTGCAGCCTCATATGAACTGAAGGACCAAGTCTGTGTTATGTACCTTGAATTTTCATTTGCATCCAAAAATAGAGCTTACTCTACAGCTCCCCAAGTTTTGTTCTAGTTCTACTCTTGAATCCATCAATTAAAAGGCATCAAAAGCTGTACACTTTGAAAATTACATTCTAAGTATGTCCCAAGCAAAATGATCCACTTTCCTGCCTCCTCCACTGATTCCCTCCCTCCCTCATTCCTCCCTCCCTTCCTTCCACAAACATGTGAGCACCAGGCATTGTGCTAATACACAGAAGACACAGTCCCTGCTCATTAGAACTGGGGGTGGGGGGAAGAGCATAGCCAGACAAGGGATTAAAAAATTTTAACTGACAAATGCTATGGAGGTGTACAGAGATGCCAAGATGACACGTAGGACAGGAAGGGAGTACCTGTTAGTCTAAACCAGCCGCGTTTGAAATGAATAAAACTATTGAAATAAAAGACTGTACCCTTTTATGTAATGATGTTTACTTTGAATTTATATTAGTTCACACAAACACTCCATCCATGCTTTTGTTCCGGCCCTCCGGTCCAGTTTAAGAACCCATTGTGGCCCTCGAGTCAAAAAGTTTGCCCACCCCTGGTCTAAACCAAAGGAGGGAGCAGGGAACAGATGAACTTACTAGCAGAGGGTACAGTATATGCAAAGCCCTGAGGTGAGGACCTTGGTATGTATAAAGAAGTAAAAGAAGTCAAAGTGAGCTGGAATTTAGAGTCAGCAGGGAGAACTGTAAGAGAGTTATGATGAAGGAAGAAAACCAGCCTATGCAGTGCTTTGAATACCATGATGAGGACTTTAGACTAAACCCTGGAAAGGCTCCAAGGAGTCGGAGAATCATATGGCAGCTTCACCTTTATTTTTTTTAAAATATATTTTATTGATTTTTTATAGAGAGGAAGGAAGAAGGATAGAGAGCTAGAAACATCAATGAGAGAGAAACATCGATCAGCTGCCTCCTGCACACCCCCTACTGGGGATGTGCCCGCAACCAAGGCACATGCCCCTAACCAGAATTGAACCTGGGACCCTTGAGTCCACAGGCCAATGCTCTATCCACTGAGCCAAACCGATCAGGGCTGGCAGCTTCGCCTTTAAAGGGCCATTCTGGCTGCAATGTGGAGAGTGAATTAGGAGCTGATGTGGAACCAGAATTGGATGTAGGGAAACAATTTACTACAGCACATTTCTGCCACTGGTGGGCTTTTCTTATAGTTCAGGATCAGAGGCAAATGTGAGTCCTCTGGCCATTCATGTGACAGACATGCAAGAACTCAAATGCACATAACCAAAGAATAAAAAGGGGTAAAGCTCTGGTAATAAAACATATTTATAGTTAAGATAAAGGCTACTGCTGGAAATAATGGAGGCTCATACTGGGTTCAAATGTCAAGTGATAATCCTATCTAATAAAAGAGAAACATGGTAATTAGCCATACATCCGCTACCCTTCCCATTGGCTAATAAGGGTGATATGCAAATTAACTGCCAGCCAAGATGGCGGCCGGCAGCCAGGCAGCTTGAAGCTAACATGAGGCTTGCTTGCTTCAGTGACGGAAGACTCCAACATTCCCCGCCTGCCGCTGCCGGCCTCTGAGCTTGCAGTTTGAAACACTGTTACAAATACAGAAGCTAAACAAAACCCCAGAAACCTGCTTTCAGCCAGCCGGGATCTCAGAGCTGGAGTTGATACAGTGTTTCAATTACAGAACCCAAACAAACCAGATACCTGCTTTCAGCAGCAGAGGCCTCAGAGCTGAAGCCAGAGCTAAAGCTGGCCCAGAATTAAAAAAAAAGAAAAAAAGGAGCGGTTGGGAGCTTCAGTCACCCGCCAGCCTGAAAACAGCCCTCAGCCCCTCACCCAGACTAGCCAGGCACCCCAGTGGGGACCCCCACCCTGAAGGGTGTGTGACCAGCTGCAAAGAGCCATCATCCCCTCATCCAGGCTGGCCAGGCACCCCAGTGGGGACCCCCACCCTGATCCAGGACACCCTTCAGGGCAAACCAGCCGGCCCCCACCCGTGCACCAGGCCTCTATCCTATATAGTAAAAGGGTAATATGCCTCCCAGCACCAGGATCAGCAGAGCCACGAGGCCTCCCAGCACCGGGATCAGCGTGACAGGGAGCAGTGCCCAAACCCCCTGATCGCCCTGCAGCTCTGCGTGTGACAGGGGGCAGGGCCACAACCTCCCTATCCTCCCTGCTCTGTTCGTGACAGGGGAAGGCACCCCAACCCCTTGATCAGCCCTGCTCTGTGCCTGATACGGGGGAGCTCCCCAACCCCCTGATCGCCCTGCGGCTCTGTGTGTGACAGGGAGCAGCGCCCCAACCCCACCCCCCCATGGGCCCTGCTCTGTGTGTGACAGTGGCGGCGCCCCAACCCCCTGATCGGCCCTGTTCTGTGGGTGATAGAGGGCGGCACCCCAACCCCTTAATCCGCCCTGCTCTGTGACAGAGGGCGGTGCCCCAACTCCCCTATCGGCCCTACTCTGTGTGACAGGGGGGAGCTCCCCAACCCCGATGGGCCCTGCTCTGTGCGTGACAGTGTATGGAGCCCCAACCCCCCTGATGGGCCCTGCTCTGTGAGTGACAGGGGGTAGCGCCCCAACCCCCTGATTGGCCCTGCTCTGTGCGTGACAGGGGGTGGTGCCGCAACCTCCCCATCGACCCTGCCTTGAGTATGACAGGGGGCGGTGCCCCAACCCCCCAATCGGCCCTACCCTGAGCGTGACTGAGGGTGGCATCGCAACCTCCTGATCCGCCCTGCTCTGTGCATGACAGGGGGCGGCGCCCCAACTCCCCAATCGGCCCTGCTCTTGAGCCTGACCAGGGGCTGCACCTAGGGATTGGGCCTGCCCTCTGCCACCCGGGAGCAGACCTAAGCCAGCAGGTCGTTATCTACGGAGGGGTCCCAGACTGCGAGAGGGCACAGGCCGGGCTGAGGGGCCCCCCTCACCCCCGAGTGCACAAATTTTTGTGCACCGGGCCTCTAGTCCTATATAATAAAAGCCTAATATGCTAAGTGTCCGACTGTTCATTTGACTGTTTGATCAATCGCTATGATGCACACTGACCACCAGGGGGCAGACGCTCCAACCAGTAGGTTAGCTTGCTGCTGGGGTCTGGCCGATCAGGACTGGGCAAGATGGGCCAGACACGGCCTGGAGTGCTCCCGTGGTCCCTCCCAGGCCCCAGTCGTGCACCGGTGGGGTTCCTTGGCCTGGCCTGCGCCCTCTTGCAATCCAGGACCACTCGGGGGATGTCAGAGAGCCAGTTTTGGCCCAATCCCCACAGGCCAGGCCGAGGGACCCCACCAGTGCATGAATTTGTGCACCAGGCCTGTAGTTAAGAGATAAAATGAAAAGAACCAAGGGATTTACTAGGAGAGGGAAGGGTGGAGAAAAGGAAAAATGAGGAAGGGAGAGACTTCAAGCAGTGTGAATGGACTCCCAGATTCCTGACCTGAGGAACTAAGTGGACAGGAATATCACTTACCTTGGTAATGAGAATGAAATAAAAAAGGAAAGGCAGGGATTAAGGGATGAGAACCATGAACACGTGGACTCTCAGTGAGATTACTTACTGATTTAACAGGAGTTTGGTCAGTTCCATGTAGTAAGGGCTAGGCATAGGGGTAAAAGTTTCTTCCATTCGTTCATGATCCCTAATCTTCTCCAACTTTTCTGAAATTTAGAAATGAATACATTTTACCATCACTATAACCAAAATGTTTTTTTAAAACCGAATTTACCAACTGCCTATATTACCTATTCGATCAACTGACAAATACATTAAAAACAGTTTTTGGACCCTGCCAGTGTGGCTCAGTGGTTGAGTGTTGACCCATGAACCAGGAATCATGCTTCAATTACCAGTCAGGGCACATGCGGGGTTGCGGATTGAGTCCCCGGTGGAGGGCGTGCAGGAGATGGCCAATCAATGATTCTCATCCTTGATGTTTCTCTCTCTGACTTAACACATTGCGGACAGATCACGAGAATTCTCGTGTTTTCTGTTCTAAGACTTGTGGCCAATCACGATATTAAAAAGATATTAGCTTGTAAGAACATGTAATAATAACTTCAAAATGCAATGGGTATTTAATTTTAAAGCGTGCCTTTAACATTTATGTAAAACGTTTTTTGTACTCGTTCAATAGAAACTTATCTGGTCACTGGGTAAAGCTAGCAATAAAACTACTGGTCCGCAATTAATAGCCTGAGAAAACTTCCAGTCCTAAATCTGAACTGCCCACTGTGCCTAAGGGATACACACAGACATGACTATGCTGTGGAGTCTCACTTTAAAGGACTGACCACCCATCTCCAAGGGGCCCTTGGTATTATCTTGCAATCCTATCAAACTCCCCTGATCCATTCACCCTCTCACTTTTGATCATGCCCACCCTCTTCATGCCTTCTCTCCTCATCTCACTGCCCCAGCCACTGCCTTGCTGAGTGCCCACATGCTCCTGTCACCACATCTTCCTAACTTCCCTGTGTCTGTCCCCATACACAAGGGCCAGCCTTCCAGGTATGCACTGGACCCTCCCCTCACCTGCACAGATCACCACTCCAGCATCGGTCTCTCACTCTTGAATGATCATGGTTTCTCCTTACTATGTGACATTCCATCAAACATGCTGCAACATCTCCCATCTTAAAAAGAAAACCTGCCCTAACCGGTTTGGCTGCGGACTGAGGGGTCCCGGGTTCGATTCTGGTCAGGGGCATGTACCTTGGTTGCGGGCACATCCCTAGTGGGGGGTGTGAGGAGGCAGCTGATCGATGTTTCTCTCTCATCAATGTTTCCTTTCTATCCCACTCCCTTCCTCTCTGTAAAAAATCAATAAAATATATTTTAAAAAAAAGAAAACCTGCCCTGGCCAGTGTGACTCGGTTGGTTGAATGTCATCCCATGCACCAAGAAGTCACAGGTTCGATTCCCAGTCGGGGCACATGCCAGGGTTGTGGATTCGATCCCTAGTAGGTGCCACACAGGAGGCAGCTGATCAGTGTTTCTTTCTCTCCCTCTCCCTTCCTCTTTGAAATCAATAAAAACGTGTGTTTTTTAAAGAAAAAGAAAACCCTCCCCTGACACCAAGTCTTTCCCCAGCTACCAATCCATTTATCATGCCCTTTACACAAAACTTTGAGTTGCCTGACATTGGCATTAACTTCCGCTCCTCAACCCCTCAGATGTGTGTCTATGCTACCCCTCCACCAACATAGTCCACCAAGGCCCACATCCTCCACTGGGCCAAACCCAAGGCTATGTCTCAGCCTCCCCATCTGACGAGGATCAATTCTCTCCCTTGGAGTGTATTAGTTTAGCTTCGCGAACACCAGAGTTCTCATCTCATCAATTCTTTCTGGCCTTCCTGACCTCTCAACACTGGTGCAGGGCTCACCTAAACCCACGTCCCATATGATCTCTTCCTGCCTCATTAAATACCATCTATGTGCTCATGACAAATTCACATCCCCAGATCAGTCCCTCCTCTGAATTCCTGACTCAAATACCCCACTGCCCGTATTATTTCCACGTGGATTTCTATCAGGCACCTCCAGTGGAAGATGTTCAAACTCCACTCCTAGGGTCAACTTTAGCCCACACACTGCTCCTGCAGTCTTCCCCATCTAAGAAAACAACTCCATTTCCTTCCGGAGCTCAAGCCAACAACCCCGGTGCTAATCTTTAATTAACTCTTCTCTCTCATACCCCTTGGCCAGTCCGTCAGCAATCCTGCTGATTCTTCCTTCAAACTATGCCTAAACTCCAACCACCACTGCCCACCTCAATCAGCTGCTCCAGCCACTCCCAGCTCTAGCCTGGGTAACTCTACTGCTCTCTCCCCACACACTTATTCTTTGCACAGAATATTCACTCTTTTCTTTTTTAAAATCTAAACCAGAGTATGAAACACCTCTGTTCAAACCCTGCAATTCCAATGTTGGCCAGGGTATGGAACACTGGAAACTCTTGGACAATCCTGGTGGGGTTATAATAATGGCTCAACCCCTGTGGAGCACCGGCAGTTTCTTACCAAGCTAAGCACAGTCTGTCCATGACCCTGCAATTCCACCCCTCGAGGTATTTACTTACCCAAGAGAAATAAAAACATATCCACAAAAAGACTTGGACAAGATCAGTCATAGCAGCCATATTCACAATGGCCAAAAACGGGAAGTAACCCAACTATCCACCATCAGAATGGGTGAACATACTGTGGCATACTCACACAACGGAACACCACTCAGCAATAAAAGAGTGTAATGGCACTTGCAATAGCGGTGAATCTCAAAAACGTTATACTGATAAGAAGTCAGAGACCAAAACTGACATAGTACTAGATGATACCATTTACATGAAGTCCAAGAACAGGTGGAACCACGTGGTGGGAGAGTCAGAGAGCAGTTGGCTCCTGGGCAGTGTCGACTATGACGTTTCACTCCTCTCACCACATACGGCCCAGGACTAGGAAGCAGCGCGGGCTGGGGCTTCCGTGGGCCAAAGCTGCCAGCGCTGATCCTAAATGAGAAGCTTTCAGGGCATGCAGCCCTAACAGAGCCAGGCCTGCTGGGACTAAAAAGGCCCTTCAAAGCAGAAGGAACTGGGGTTTCCCACGATGTTTCAGGACCTCTAGGGCCACTCACCCCGTAGGACCGGGAGTGAGGCGGAAATGCCCAGTCTTTCTTAACTGCATGTGAGAGTCTGGCTGAACGTGTCCTTGCTTCTAGGAGGCAGGTATCCCCAAGTGATTCCCAAGGGGAGGGGGCGATCAAAATCAGGCATGGCTTTTCAAATTCTACAGGCATGCCTATGACCACCACCACCACCCCAATAAAATTACAATTATTTGCGATAATGAGCCACTCACATCTTTGAGATGGAGAAAAGACCGCAAAGGATAAAGTCAGGGTCAAGTCGGCCCGCATCTTCGATGCATCATTTTCTTTTCCCTAACAACTTTATTGAGGCATAATTAACGTACTACACAATTTACTCACTTAAAGTATACAATTCAATGGTTTTTAGTATATTCACAGAGTTGGGCAACATTTTCATTGCCCCAAAAAGGACCCGTCCCCCCCCCCCCCCAAACAATCCCTCCATCTACTCCATACCCCTATCCCTAGGTAAGTACTAATTTATTTTGTCTCTGTAGATTTGCCTGTTCTGGATAGTTCATATAAATGGAATGTTACAAATAGGGTCTTTGCGTGTTCTTTTCAGAGAGCATAAGATTTTCAAGGTCCATCCACATTCCTTTATATGGCTGAATAATATTCCCTTGTAGGGATTATTTTCATGCATTTTCTATAATGTAAGATTAACAACTTTGCTCAACATGTCAGTCTATATCTATAATAATAAAAGTATAATATGCTAATTAGACGGGACATCCTTCCGGACGTCCTTCCAGACGACCTTCCTAACGAAGCCGGTGCCAGCAGCCCGGGGAAAGAAGGCCTACTCTTGCACGAATTTCGTGCATCGGGCCTCTACTACGTATATATTTAAATTAAAATGTTTATTTTAAGGCCTTATAATACTTTTAAATTTTAAAGCAAGGTGAAATAGCTTTAAACACAAAATCTGAACTAGAAGCAGTATACACACCCCAAACTGACAGGGCCCTGGTAACAGCGGTCAGCTGGCTCTAAGGCGTGAACCTGGAGCCATTGGTTTCAGCTGGTCAGTGGGTCATGGCGCCATTGCGGAACCCGGGCACCCGCGTCCTTACCCACATCCATCCACTCCGGGGGAAGCAACCGGCACTTCTGTCTTTGCTTCAGGTTAATCGCCAGCCACAGAGGCACTTGCACCGGCAGGCCAGGGTTAAAGGGCCCCAGGTCCCCCTGCCGGAGGAAGCAAACCCCGGTAAGGCGAGGCAGAGCTCAGGCATTCCCGGACCTCCAGACACAAACGCACGCCCGGTGGTCACGCGGCGCGGGAGGCAGCCCACGTCCGCCCTCGCGCGGTGGGGCTGCCGCACCTGGCGGCCCATCTGAGCCCAGTTCCCGAGGCGCCGCGGGGAGGCCGCCCAGGAACACCTGGGAGGCGCGGGCGACCTCCAGGGGCTCCCCCGCCCACGTCTCCCGGCTCCGAACCTCGCCCCAACCCCGTCCACGCAGGGCCCGCGGGCTGGAGTCCGCCGCCCGGCTTCCCACCCGAGACTTGGGATCAGAGCAGGGCGAGTCGCCGTCCGCAGACGCCAGTTCCTGAGGCAAATGCCCGGCGCACCCTTACCCCGATGAGGTAGATCTTGTCCAGACTGAAGTTCGGGATAATGGTCACCAGCTCCTTCTCCGCCAGAAACTCCACCTCGGCCGGGTCCATAGCGGAGCAAGCCGCTACCCCTCAGCGTCCCTTAAGTGCCGGGGCGCCGCTTTCCCGCCACCGCGCGGAGCCCGCCCCCCGGCCGGAAGAAGCCGTATCCGACCAATAGCAACTCGGCGCTCTCCGCGAGCGGCGGGAGGCGGAGAGAGCGGCTGCTACGAGCCCGCGGATTGGCGAGCTTGAACGAGGCTAAGCGCTCATCCCGCCCCTCTTGTGTCCCGGCTCCGGCCCCGCCCCCTCGCTCACAGGCATGGCCACGCCCCCTCCCGTGGGGCGGCCACGCCCTCTCCCGGGTCACAGACCCTACGCCCCACCTGGTGCGTGCCTGCCTGCCTTTCAGCGTCTAGCTAGCTAGCAGCGCTAAGCTCCTGTGTTCCTTCACCCCCCCTGGGCGCCTACCCGCCTTACTCATGGGCCACAGCATCACCTGAAACAGCCCGACCCTATGAGAGTGAGGGAAGGCGTTTCCTTTCATTTCACAATCTTCTGACCTCTGCATACACATTGGTTAAAAATGTAGATTCCCCCCCCACCCCATCTTCCAATTCAGAAACTGCGGGGGAAGGGCTCCGAATCTGCACGTTGGCAAGCAACCCAGGTGAAGCTTATGAAGGGGCAAGTTTGCAGGCTGCAGCAAGTATGTATTGATGTGCTCAGAATCCCCTAGCGGCCTAGACCAGTGGTTCTCAACCTTGGCTGCACATTAGAATCACCTGGGAATCTTTTTAAAATCCTGATTTCTAGGCCTCATCCTCCGGAAATTCTGTTTCTTTGTTACTAATGTTGTGGCCCCACCCCATAACAAAGAAACAGAATTTCCGGAGGATGGGGCCCAGAAATCAGGAGTTTAAGAAGATTCCCAGGTGATTCTAATGTGTAGCCAAGGTTGAGAACCACTGCCCTAGACAGTGGTTCTCAACCTTCCTGATGCCGCAACCCCCAATACAGTTCCTCATGTTGTGGTGACCCCCAATTTCATTGTTACAAATTGGACATAATTAAAGCATAGTGATTAATCACAAAAACAATATGTAATTATATATGTGTTTTCCAATGGTCTTAGGCGACCCCTGTGAAAGGGTCATTTGACCCCCAAAGGGGTCGCGACCCACAGGTTGAGAACCGCTGCCCTAGAAGCTTCTGAGTTAATATGCACACTCCTGGAGAATTGTGTTTCAGAGGTTGGATGGGACCAGAAAGTTGAATTTTAACCAGAGCCAAGGGAATTCTGATGGGATTCTAATAGGCCAGGAAAGCTTCCAGGGAGGTAAGGGAGCCAGTGCAGGACTGGTGGGGACAGGCAGTGGGCTGGATTTGAATTTGAAATCCTGCTCATTCGGCCCTGAGAAAAAGCATAGGGACAGGAGTATTTCAGGGTTCTGTATCCTGGCAGGAAAGCTGTCCCACTCCAGATAACCCCATGCTTTACTCTCTAAGCCCCCTGAAACTGCCCCATTTAGGGTTGCTGGGAAGATGAAATAAGACTATATTAAGTTCTGCCCACTCACATGGCATGGAACACTATGTCTGTTGTTTATCTGCAAGGGAAATTGTCATTTTCGGACTTGGAGATTACTGTCATTGTGTGTCATGTATTCAGACAAACTTTCAAAGGAAATAAATGGAAGAGCCTCTGGATGCTGTGTGGCCCAGGGCAAGTGACCATTCTGACCTCAGTTTCCTCATCTGCAAAAGAGGCAGGAAGAGAAGGAGCCTGGAGTGTTTAGGGAGGGGGAGAAACTTTGGGCCACCTGGCCCCTCCTGAAATAGAAGCTCCTTCAGACATCTGCAGAGAGTGTGTGCCAACTTGTCTGGGTTTCGATTGATGGGAGAATGTTTCCTTCACTGGCAAATATTTGTGTTCCAAAGCTGGCGAGGCTTCCCTGCAGGCTTTTTGCAGCCTGTAAAAGAGCAAAGGAAAAGAGCTGGTGGGAAAGCCGAGGTTCAGAGAGGCCACAGCAGGGTGAGCAGGAGAGCAAGCAGAGCCCAGTGTCCACATCACCTGAGTCCTGGTGCTCTTGTCTGTAATATGCAGACAGTGCTACTGCTGACCCCACTGGGATGCTGAGGGAACAGGAGACAGTGTGCAGCATTGCACACTGCAAAACGGTGTCTTAGAGTCTCAAACTTGAGTGTATATCAGGGTCCCTTGGAAGACTTGTTAAATGACTTTCCTTTCATAGCAGCATGATTTGCAACAGCCCAAAGGTGGAAATGACCCAAATGTCCATCAACTGAGGGATGGATAAACAAAATATGGTCTATACGTGCTGTGGAATGTTATTTAACCATAAACGGGAACGAAGCACTGATGCCTGCTACAATGTGGGTGAGCCTTGAAAACATTATACCAAGTGAAAGAGGCCGATCACCAAAACCATGTATGATTCCACATATATGAACTGTCTAGAACAGGCAAATCTGCAGAGACAGAAAGGAAATGAGTGGTTGCCAGGGCCGGGGGAGAGAGAAATGGGAGTGACTGTGAATGGGCATGGGGTTTCTTTTTGGAGTGGTGGAAATGTTCTGGAATTAGATAGTGGTGGTGGTTGCACACTCTATAAATATACTAAAAACCACGGAAGTGTACACTTTAAAAGGGTGGATTATTCCTCAACAAAGCTGTATTTACAATGCCCTTCCCTGAGCTCTAGGCTCAGACTTTCTAACTCAGAAACCACACACTTAACATGCTCCCCAGGAGGTGTTTATAGTGGGGAGACCTGGGGAGGGTAGCAGCTGCTCCAATCCAGCCCAGCTCTGAGCCATTCCCAGGATCCAGCCTCATGCCTGGCTCTTAAAGTAGGGGCGAGGGGAGGGGGGGATGTACCGAGACGCAAACAGACAAGAGGAAAACAAGGGAGGGGAGAATGATGGAAGTGGGGTTGCTACTTGAGAGCAGGGGACAGGCCCTCATACCATTGCTTCCTGCTGTAAGAACTGCCTCCCCTGCAGGGCTAGAATGCCCCATGTGGTAATGAATTAAGAGTTGGAGATAAAATTAATGGGGTGAAGGGACAAATCCTTCATGCCAAAAAATTCCAGATGATGTATATAGATGCCCAGCCTTCAAGAAGGTGGAGCATTGCCAGCCGGCGTGGCTCAGTTGACCTACGAACCAGGAGGTCACAGTTCGATTCCTGGTCAGGGCACATGCCCGGGTTGTGGGCTGGTCGCCAGTGGGGAGCGTGTGGGAGGCAGCCTATCAATGATTCTTTCTCATCATTGATGTTTCTATCTCTCTCTCTCTCTCCCTCTCTCTTCCTCTCTGAAATCAATAAAAATATATTTGGGGGGGGGGCGGGGAACGTGGAGCATAACACCCCACTCCTAAAGTGTGGGCTGCCCAGAGCAACTTCCTTCCAAGGAGAACAGGATGGAAACAGGGGAAAACAGAGTAACTTGACAGTGAAGAAACCTAATCAACATGACCTTAGCCAGGTCATCAAGGTCAACAGCAGTGATAAGCCAAGGTCAGGGCATACACCCTTGATATCATGGATGAAGAGGGCACTTTACCTCCCAAACCTATAACCGCAGTCTGATCCTGAGAAAAAACATCAGACAAATCCCAATTGAGGGATTTTCTACAAAACACCTGACCAGCACTTCTCAAAAGTGTCAAGGTCGCCCTGGCCGGGTAGCTCAGTTGGTTGGAGCATCATCCTGATACCCCAAGGTTGTGGGTTTGATTCCGGGTCAGGGCACATACAAGAATCAACCAAAGGATGCATAAATATGTGGAAAAACAAATCGATGGTTTTTTTTTTTCTTCTCTCTTTCTCTCAAAAAAACAAAAACCTGTCAAGGTCATCCAAAACAAGGAGAGTCAAAAACTGTCACAGCCCAGAGGAGCCTAAGAATTCATGACGACTCAGTGTCATGTGGGATCCTGGATGAGATCCCAGAGCAAAAAAAAAGACATTAGGGGAAAACTGAGGAAATGGGAAGCAAGTATGGACTTTAATTAATAATAATGTATAAAAATTGGTTCCCTAATTGTGACAAATGTACCAGAGCAGCATACGATTAACACTGGGTGGGCAGTATACGGGAACCTGCTGTACTATCTTGGCGACTTTTTTCTAACTCTAAAGCTTTCCTTACCAAGGATAAGTTTATTTTCAAAAGCCTTCCCAGGCTCCCCTGGAAACCTAATACGCCCCCCAAAATGTGAACCTATTGCCCTCTTCAGGGTAGTTGGCTGCATAACTACTTTTGGTCACACAGAACAGTGCTCCAAAGTGAGCCAGCAACGCGGACTTCTGATGTGCAGGCAGTGGGTCTTCCTGCAATGATGAAACACTCAGTTTCTTCCCAGCCGGTAGACTTGGCCGCACGTGGAAATGGAGCATTTGCAATAGGACTGATGGGGGGCCGGGGTCCTCTGAAGGGTCATTTCCTCCTGCATTTGACGTTGGGCCAGCAGCCCGCCGATGCATCCCCACAGAAAACGATGAATGACAGTGAAGAATTGAGGAGGTGGGTGAGAAGCTCCAGAGGCTCTCAGTCCTGCCTGTGCAAGAGACTCATCTACCCGATGCTGGGCCACCCCTGGACCCAAGGAGTCAGAACCCCTGAAGTGGGGCTCAGGCCTGGGCGGAGAGCCACTGCTCTGATAAACGGAGTCCAGTCTCTCTCCTGTGGTGGTGGTGGGGGAGGGGGTGACTTCAGGGAAAGCACTGACTTGCAGCTAGTGGTGTCACCCATCTAAGAAGCTGCTTGAATTACAGTGTGGGCAGCAGGAGAGAAATGCAGAATGCAAAACACCTCCTGGGTGACCTCCTTGCCTGGCCTCAGCTGGAATATGCCAGGTGTGGTTCAGAGCAGGGCTCTGCTAACAGGACATGAATGCCTCCCTCACTAACCCCCTCCCCTCCCAGGGCTCCAAGGGACCAGGAGCCACAGCTCCCGCTGCGACTTGAGCCCCTGCCTGAGTCTAGTCCAGCCGTGGGCAAACTACGGCCCGCGGGCCGGATCCGCCGTTTGAAATGAATAAAACTATTGAAAAAAAAGACCGTATCCTTTTATGTAATGATGTTTACTTTGAATTTATATTAGTTCACACAAACA